AGCTGCTGGACAATAGCATCAAGTCTCTATAATATGTTTGCAGCATGTAGATTGTAGTCTAAATCATGTTTCCACAATCTTTGTTCCGGCTTTACAATAAAGATGAATTGAATTGTGTTAATTATGTTGATCCGTTGAACTGAGCTCGGTGTGAAGGCCGCGTGCACTTTAACTTGGCGTAATTGAGAATGGAAACAATCATTGTTTTTGTTACGAAAAAGTATAGTATCACTTAGGTACCTAGAACATGATTCACTTTTGTGACACAGTCTTTGCAAATTGTCTCAGCAAATTCTTTTTATAATATATTTTGTACAAGCTGAACTCATAATGAGTGTGGTTTTCAATTCTGTAATTGTCGTTTTGGAGTGTGAAAACCTTTCTTGGGTTTCAGCAGTTTACTGGTTTCGTCTTCTAGTCTGTATTAGAACATAGCAAGCGGAAAAACTGTAAAAAGATTCTTGAATCAAATAAGCGACGTGATATTAACATAATGTATGTAAGTTACAAAGGAAGGAATTCATGTTGCAGTATCTATGTCGTAGTGCTGCATAAATTAGTGTTCGTAGCATTGTATTCTGAAGTTGAGCCACAAAGTCGGAAGCTCTGCTGTCAACATGTCACTCGTGATTGCTAAAGTGCCTTTCTGCATCGTTCTGGTGCGAAAATTTCTATTTGTGAACGAAACGTGGTTTTAGAAAATGTAGACCACATTTGTAGGGTTTAGTGGAGGTTATCATAGGCTTTTATTCTTGGCATGGTTTAATAGGATAGTGTTATAAGCACTGAAGTTCTATAAGTGAATTTGATCGGTGCCTATGTTGTATCTGCTGCACCTGCATTAAATAACGCAAGCGATCCTTGATACTGAAATTATTCCATTCCAATGAACGAGAAATTCTAGTTCATAGTAATTTGTCCTTGGTTATTACGGATAAAGGTCCCTTTTCTGCGTCGGCCTTCAATTATTATATTGATAATAAAGGAAAAGGATGTACCATTTATAAGTCTCCAAGGATGTCCACACTGTCACTCCCAAAAACATTTATTTTTGCATTTATTATATATAATATATTTGCAAACATTAATTTTGGAAATCCGACCATTGGTTCCAAAGATTACCCCCTCCATACAAGCTTACAAATTTTACCTCTTTATAATACTATAGTATAGACTAGTATAGATAATCCCCCTCATAATAAATAATGTTTATTTCTCCACATTGTTTATAACTTATTCAGGAACAGTTATGCTATTCTACGTGAATTAAAAATGCATATGGAATACGGATCATTTTCTCTCCTTCTAAAGAGAAATATCATGCTTGTCATATTTACTTATAACTAAAAACGTTTATTTGAAAACACTAGAAAAATGTAATAACATATTTTCCTCTATGACTATACAACTCCTACGTCCTCCGGAGTATTGATGTCGTGGCACATAAATTTAATTTAGAAGCTGGCTCGTATCGCCGGGAGATTGAAATGTAGTTAACCGGCTACATTCCCAGCGGAGACTGGCAACTCTAAAATATTACTTCGTACATTGTGCGCTCATTGTTCGCATTGTTCACGCTAGGGCGGACTGGGAGGGCAACTCTAGTAATGTTGTATGAATTTATTTTTAGAGCATTAGAATAATTGCCAGTTTTATTTGGTTAGCAGTTACAAATGAGATTTCTTAGCATTTAACACTTATGCTCTTACCATCGAGTTACATCCTAAAACAACTTATTCTGGAAAATAAAAGACAAGTCTATATGGTTTTCATCCGTAAAAAATATTATCCGGAAGTATTGTTCAGGGTTTTTTTTATGTGATAGGACGGCAAACGAGCATACGCATTACCTGATGGTAAGCAATCGGCGTCGCCCATGGACACCCGCAACAAAAAAGGAGTTACGAGTGCGTTGCCGACCTTTTAAGGATTGGGATTTTGGGGATTTAGGGATTGGGGTAGGGGAAGGATTGGGCCTCCGGTAGCCTCACTCACACGGCGAAACACAACGTTGTGGTTGGTTCACGCCAATTTTCTGTGAGGCCGTGGTATCACTCCGGTCGAGCCGAAAAATTAATAAGGGTTAAAAATTTAACCTAAATACACGGCACTTTTTTCGACCTATTCACACCGAACGAACTCGTCAACTAAATACCCTAGAGTAGACCACTAGAATAATAGGACAATCAACCAGTAGGTATTTGAATTATTTGTTAGTAGGAAGAGAATCGATTTCAGTGCTGAACGGTGTTTTAAGTACAACCTCCTTTGAAACGCGACTTAATAATTTATGGATTTAAATTTACAATTGTAGTGAGTTCCCAATAGAATTTGAAAGTGTTTTAGTGACCTAATTAATTAATTAATTAATGTGTCAGGATACATTTACATTTGTAAATACCTACAAAACATTAAAGGTTAGTTACTGGGATACTTCTTAAACATTATTTATCATGCTTATCAACATAATATTAAAGCGGGTATTAACGCGAAAAGAAATTATTTAAATACCTTGGAAGGCTTGAAATACCCGCTGAATATTATGTTGTTAACATGAAACGCGGAAGTTTAAAAGTTAGTATCTAATGACAAGCTTGTTTTTCTCTGTAATGGTAGTGTGTAAACTTGCTTGTGTAACTTGCCATCTATCTAGTTTTTTTTTTTTGGTATAAGTCGGCAAACGAGCAGACGGATTACCTGATGGTAAGCAATCGGCGCCGCCCATGGACACCAGCAACACCAAAGGAGTAACGAGTGCGTTGCCGGCCTTTTGGGGATAGGGGTTGCGGATATAAGGATCGGGAAGATATAGGGGAAGGGGCGGAATTGGGCCTCCGGTAACCTCACTCACACGGCGAAACACAACGCTGTGGTTGTTTCACGCCGGTATTCTGCGAGGCCGTGGTAACACTCCGGTCGAGCCGACCCATTCGTGCCGAAGCTTGGTGCTCCCACACTTCCATTTATGATAGGCATTAGTTCCATTTATGATAGGCAAGTATCTCATCAATGACTTGTCTCGCCTAGGGAGAGAGAGTGTCAGAATCTTACTGACTAAACACCACCCCGTTCCTTCTCCTGCCCCGGGCTGAGGTGCCTCGATGCCTTATTGCTCTTGCCCCTCAACCCCAGCTGTTTGCCATGCAACCCTGGCTGGTGTAATATCTATATCTTGACTCTTGATTCTGTGCCTTCCAATCAAATCGTCGCGTATTTTTTTCAATGCCATAACAACAACAATTTCTACTTTTAATACCAGTAAGTAAAATTGTATAGATAGGTTACATAAAAAACATACGATTTTCAAAAAAAATTATGATACACGTTCAAGTGGGATGGCATGATTCAATAATCGCGAGTGAAAAAGAGACAAATATGAAAAAAGTGTGGCTAGTTAGCCACATTTTAATGTATCACTAAACTTGCTGAGCGCTTGTAACCTATCTACACCTTTTTACTTACAATATCATTGTTTAATACACAAATAAAATGTATTAACCAGTAAATGAAACTAATTAATGTTTATTAGTTTTGAATGAAAGGGTAATCAATATCGCATTATTGATATTGTTCGTAGTTATACCGATATCGCCATATCGTGTATCTAGCGTGTGTAATTTACTTTTCCGAGGTTGAAATATTTAATGCAAGCGGCGGTCCATGACATTTTGGGGCACTGCCATGACATGGCAATTTATTTTTTCTTTTATTTTTGTAGTAACGGAAAGCAATATTATATTATGTTGGTTATGAAATAAGAAAGAGCGATTTTACAGCTTACCCCACATCATGTTTCTCATATAATGTACCTACCTATCTTGTACAATATTACGCTCCGGGAAAGGTAAACCTATGTTACCCTAAGTTATTTCCATAGAATTTGCTGGCAGGTGTCAAAATCCGAACCGAGAAACCGAGGTCCATTTAGGCGGTCCAAATATCCAAACACATTTAACACGGTTACATATTCTTTCAGAATCTCCACTTGGATACACCTTCAAGTATATAAATTTATTAACGCACTAATAATTTCACGTGATTCGAGCATTTCGGCACTAAGCTTTGGCACTCTTCGAAACCACGTGTAAATGTTTGTGAAGCGTGTATTTGTAATCTATTGACTCTTGCCAAAATTTATGCAATTAGCAACGCATCGTTCATAGTGCTGTCTCGTGAACCAATTTCTTATACAACTTACCTATACGTAAGCAATGAAAATCATGTTGTCTTTAAATTTTTCGCCCGTGAAAATTGTCCATAAAAACTCCCGTAAGTAATTAAAACAAATTAAATCAGTGCGGGACTGAGCTAATTTTAGAATGGAGCCAAAATCAATAGACGTCCTTTTATTTTTCCAATTTTGTACAATATTGGCGATACCTCGCTCAGGAATAAAATTTCCTGTGTAGGTACGGGTTACAAGTAACAATAACGTAGAATTTTTTTATGATTAAAATACATAACTCGAGTCTCACACAGATACTTGATTCTTTTCTTGAGGTAAATTTTTTTTTATAATCTGCATGGATGTGAATTACGTAAGTAGGTATCCATTTTATTTTCTTTTCGGGTTAAACAAGCACAGTTCATTTCGGTCTCATTCTTCGCATAATCAACGTTTTGGCGGAATTCTTTCTTCATTTGCCAGTATTGTCAAAGTAACAACCTTTTCATGTATATTTGCTTTGTTAAGCAATTCTGAGCGCTGTTAGTTGTTGAACTACGTCCCTTTGACTAAATGTAGCCAAGTAATTTCGTGTTGTGTTTAATTAGGACTGGTCGTACCTGACCGTTTTATTATCCAATCATTGCTTCACTTTGATGTAGTTAAGTAAGCGTGTTCGTTTTAGTTCTGCATGTTATGGAAGGACTTGTGCTCGCTTGCTGTTTTTTTATTTAAATGTTTATTGCGTGACTTAGAAATAGTTTTTATTTAGTAGTCACTTAAGTAGGTACTCTATGTAATTCCAGCATGTTAACTTGTGATTTTTGTTTTCCAGCACCAGTTTCCGGCAATGTACGACCTGAAGCTGGGCGGCATGCTGTACCTGGCTGGCGTGTTCTTCTTCAAGTCGGACGGCCGCATTCCCTTCGCTCACGCCATCTGGCACATATTCGTCGCGCTGGCCGCCACCGTTCACTACTTGGCCATCCTGCGACATCTCTTCCCAGAACTTAAATCTCATTGAAGACTGCCCCTTTAACCTATTGAATCTCCATTATTAGAGCTCTCTAAAGCTATTTTTGTATCCTAACTCGACAACAAGGCCGCAGATTAAATAATTCAACTGACAATCGTCCGACATTTCGCGAACGATCGACAGTATGCAGCTCCGATTTGCGGCTTTGTGCAGTCGTTAACTTCGTAATGTGTGTGTGAATCTTTTGTGTAGTGATTTGGATACAATAGACTAAATAACTTGTAGGTTTTATGCTGTAAGCCGGGGCGGATCGTAAGTGTATACCTCTTCGTGTAGATACAGACTACCGTAAGCGACATTTAATAGCCGGTCTTTGTAATTTTCCGGTAGGATGAGCACTAATTGAAATTTTGCAATGAAAATTATTATTCATCTGTTGTAGTTTTATATCTAACTAAATTTCAACGCATATCATCGTTAGTTTATTTATAACACATGTCCGTCGGGACTGCATGTCGCCAGAACAATATCGTATGCATGTAAATATTATGATACTGAAGAGAAGTCGAGTCGCGCAGGTAGTGTAACTCACCGTGGTATACAGTTACGTGAGCTTCCGGTCTCTCCACGCGCCATACTGCAATCAATATTGTCACATCAAGGCCACATACCGCAGCATCCACACTTATATTCCGGACCTGTGTTCAACACGTGTCACATCTTTCTTATATCGGATATTGAATTAAATATTTACGGGAAATACAATATTGAGGACACTTACCTAACATGAATATTTTGGAGGCAACATCGAAATCGATACCTTTTTTTGATTAGATCGACTAATCAATTCTTATTTTTAATGTATAAAGCGCCTATCTTCGGAACTGCTGGCTCGAATTGATCAAATATTCTTTTGTTGGATAGTCCATTTACTGAGGAGGGCTATGCTTATAACATTGAACTAAGATCAATATGAGGCAAGAAACGGGTGGAAATCGAAAGTATATATGATTTTTTCGATTCGTTTGCAATACGGTGTTCCTTATTTAAAATGAATCTTGTTTAACCAACTTGCAGCCATTAAATTTTGCGTCTGAATTAGTGTAGAGAATTACACATCAACTTATCGACTAATCGGTCGATGATTTCGGCAGGAAATTGCAAAGGAAGTTTATTCCTGTTGCCGCTCGCCCGCGTTATGTATGTAGGTATACCATAATGAATAGTAGTCATTTACGAACTACGAGTATCGAGTCGAGTTGGTACGTCACGATACTCGAAAACAAACTTTTGTAGACTTGTCAATCGGATTACAACTCTATTCACGTATATTATTCATAGGCAATTGTTTGTCCGATTTGACCGTTGTCCTATCACGAAAGCGATGAAAACCGAAATAGATTTTATTTGGAATAGAAAGTAATTTAACTTTGGAAGTGGTTGATTTTAATGGCCTTCCCATTTAAATTCAACAATTTAGATTAACGACTTAGTCTACTTGGAATTGCCTTGTATGATAATGAGCGTGCGAGGCAATGCCTTGCGCCCATATTTGAAATTTCAGGGTGGGTTCAATGTCTTTATTTTAGGTAGCGTATGGGTCTATAAGACAGTGGATGCCAAGCAAGTTTTCAGTGTCTCAGTAGTGTTGCCCGTCGATATGTTGTGTGGCCATGATGGTGTATGTACAGTATGGCGCGTCCCTCACAAATACTAGATACGAGTATTTAATAGATCTAACGTTACATATTAGCAGCATGAACCACGTTCGGCCAAACTAACTACAAATGGTAAATGTGTGTATATTTTGTAACATATTGTTGAACTTATTGTACTATTGTTGTAGTGTTTGTAGTCGTATCTCAGAATCTCGAGACCAATCCAACCCTTTTTAGAGTAACTATTTAAAAAATATCGTATTGAGGGTTTTTAGAAACGTTTATACCTATTAACTTATTATACTTATACGGAATCCAGTTTTTTCAGCGAAATCTTTTATACACCTCAATGTGACTTTTTCCTTAGTATTAGTCGTTATAGTTTAGCTAGTTGAATGTATATACCATCTCGTGTCTATGGAATAGGATTTTAAAATTTTAACATCTTCAATAATAATTATTTAATTTAAAATTATTTATTTACTTGTCCCAATTTAGATTTTTTAAGGATTGCTCAATCGTTCGTGTGATTAGGTAATATTTTGCCAGACTTCCAATGGTTACAGTAGGATGTGCAAGGTATCGGTTTGTTGGTGGCAGTGTAGGGATGGATGTACATTCGCGTGGAGATGTGTTATCACGCTGACACCGCCGAGCATTGTTCCCTGTGTTCCTGTGCTCTTACGATACCCGAACAATCGACTCCGTTTCAAAACTAGGACGACAGCGCGTCCATACTTAGACAGTTGTGTGCTCACACAATGGACAGAGGGAAATGAAATGTTTAACTTCAGACCTTTAACCTGTTTGGACTACAAAATACTCTTGGTAAAGCGATAGCATTACTTTATGATAAAATGTGTTAATTCGTAATTATCTTTCAATGGGTTACCTAATCGAAGTTTTTAGTGTCGCATGAATTAAGTGCTATATTTTGATTTTGTAATCATTCTAGTCATTGTATTTGCTACAAACATTTGTGTATTGAATGTGAATTAATTTTATGCAATGTGCATGCAGCCGCGTCGGTGAAAGATCAACAACCGAGTCATTGGTACTAAACAGTCGTATTTAAGCTAATCACATTTTGAATGCGCGGCTTATGACATTAGAAGCAAATTGGTTGAATAAAGAATCATGACAACCGGTTAGCCAAGGTTATCACAGGGTAATTATCAACTATTGCAAGAATGCACAAACACTAAAATTATTAATTCATTCAACATAATTATCTCACTACAATTAGTTAAATAATATGAAATTTATTTTAAAATTAGGGAAAAGTGTTTTTGTTCTAGACTACGGTGTCAGGTGTAGCGATACCTGTTTATACCGAATATCATAATACATAGATGAGAACTCCTCTAAAGTGCAAAGTATTCGTAAGTAGGGAAGGGTAGCGGTAGTCGGAACGTGTGTAACAGTTATGTTTCGGATATTATTAGGGTCCTATTATTAAATACGTACGATGGAGACAATTTTCTGTAGTCATTATAATATTGGAATTGTGCTCGACAGTACCAGTATGTAATACTTGTCGCTTTGATTGTACCTCGCCAAATACATGTTGTATGTTCTCGTGTGACGACTGTTCGTCGACGGTCGCTGTAAATGTTATCGTTGCTAAAGCAATGGGCGTGTCTCAAGTCTTCCAGAGATGCTATTGGTGGTAGGTATTCTAAATCAAATTAACATTCCTTAAATATTCCATACATTTTAATGTAATCGTACTCTCGGCCGTCTTCCTTTGACGTACCTTTTTTATTTTCCAACCACCTTGAGTCGCAAACTCCTCTATTTTAAAACTCTGTCTGACTTTTAAATAAATTAAATAATGGCTTAATATTAGATTATGATAAAAATGAAAATAATTCAAGTAAATAAGGAAAAATATTTATATTTTAGCTGAAATATTCCATTTTAAATTAACTTCTAGGGCTACAGGTGAATTAATAGTTTCCCACGGTTGAAAATTGTACCCATTATAATGTTAAACTTTTATGTAAATTAAACAATATTATTACGTCATTGCGTCAATGTAACAAATACTAGATTATGATGTATAACTTAGTGGGAATAATCATCTCGTTATAATTAGCTGTCGTGGGAGCGTCCACCATTGAAAATCGACCTTTACATGAGACCGTTGTTTATTTAATTCCAGGGATTGTTTACCACTATTGTATGGGTGGACACTCGTACGAGAGCCATAACTTGTTGTCTGTACGATGTTTAATGTGATGTAACGTGTATTGTTGTAGATGGTAAGATAATGGAAACATCTTAACGTAAGGCAGGTAACATAGTGGACTATAGTCTATGTAATACTATTCTACACACTAGTGGCTGAAATTGATCAACACTCCTCAGTCGAAGTCTATGTATTAAGATGCATAGAGGTTATGTACTCAAGTATAGACATTTTTATTGATATCCTATCAAACATTTAACTCAATTTTAGATGCATAATGTTAAATACATCTAAATAATTATGAATTCTGTCCAATATGTTTCCTGCTTTACAAATAAAACCAGTGACTATTCTATATAATTTTTCTAACAGATAGTGTTATGAACATGAAGTTACCTTTGATATCGGACCCTGGTATAGTTTTGTAGAGGTTTTTGGGAACTCAATAAATAAAATTTTACAAACAATTTACTCTTATTATTTATTAATACAAACCTTTAGGCATTGCTTATAAATTGTTAGTGGTATAAATTAAAATTGTGATATGCCTAAAACTAGTGAGTACCTACTTAGAGTAGTTTTACATTTTGGATACTGTTTTGATTCCTAAGATGTCTAAGCATTTCTCCATGACCCTGGCAGTGATTTCACATAACATCAGCCTTTCATAAATAATCTTGACAATCTTACCTTCCTTATCCTTCTCAACACAATAACACTTGTCGTAAAACTCAGTGAATGCAGATGATATTTCATACAAATATTCACACAAGCTGTGCAGGTACAGATCACTGGCTACTTTCAATATGATTTCTGGGAACCTTAGTAATACTTTTCCTAGTTTCCATTCAGCTTCATGGCCAAACTTAAAGCCAGACTTTTCAACCTCAGCCATCAGCTGCTCCTGCGAGATCTGTGCAGTCCTTGCTATTGACCGGATTCTAGTCAAAGCATACAAGAGATAGACGGCAGTGTTGCCTTTGTCATCCAACATCTTATCAAAGGAGAATATGTAATCATTAATCCTGTTGTGTGAGAGATCAGCATATTTAATACATCCATAAGCAATTGCTTCTTGGGCCTGCTTCAGCTCTTCAGGTGACAAGACTTTGTCTCGTCCCTTCTCAACCAGTTTATCCATAGACCTCTTCAAACCTTCATCAAGTAATTCAATTAATTTTATAGTGTCACCAGATCTTGTTTTGAATTTCTTCTTGTCCTCTCCTAAGACAACACCAAAACCAACATGTTCCAACTTCTGGTTATTCTTCAAGATACCAGCCCTGCGTGCACAAGCCTCTATGATTACAAAATGTGTGGCCTGGCCAGCATCAGTAACATAAATAAACCTGTCACCTTTTTCTTCCTCTACCCTCTGCTTTATGGTGGCCATATCAGATGTATCATAGGTAAAGCCTCCATCAGACTTTACAACTGTAAGTGGTATACCTTCATGTTTATCAGGGTTACCCCACATAATTAGCCTGCCTTCATCTTCTTCTAAGTACCCACCATCTTTTAGCTGCTTTACCACAACATCCATCCTTTCTTGGTAGAAAGATTCCCCTCGATCAATGATACTGATGTCCAGACGGTCATAAATTTTCTGAAACTCTTGTCGCGACACATCACAAATCAGTTTCCATGCAGAGATGTAGTCAGCTTGGTGTGATTGCAATTGCACTACACAGGCATAAGCTCGCTTCTTAAATTCTTCATCTTCATCAAACCTTTTCTTAGATTCTTTATAGAAAGCTTGCAGATCTGAGATTGGTGGTGAATGAGTCTTATAATTAGGGAATTTATCTTGCAGATGAGCAATCAACATTCCAAACTGTGTTCCCCAGTCTCCTAAGTGATTAATTCTTAGGACATCATGACCCAAGAACTCCAGTATACGACAAATGCTTTCTCCAATGATAGTAGACCTCAAGTGTCCAACATGCATCTCTTTAGCAATGTTAGGAGATGAAAAATCAACAATTATCTTTTCCCTTTTCACTGGAGGAGGTTTTACTCCAAACCTTAGTATACAGTTCAAAATGTGTTCAGCCATCATTTTATTGATGTAGATGTTTAAGAACCCAGCACCAGCCACTTCCATCCGCTCAATGAAAGGTGATGTTGGGGTCTTGTTCAAGATGTTATTGGCCACTTCTCGGGGGTTAGTCTTAACATTCTTAGCTTTTAACAGTTGTGAGATTGCCATAGCTGAATTGCACTGGTAGTCGCCGAATTTAGGGTTGTTGCCAGACAAAGTAATAACAACAGGGGGATCCTCCAAGTCAGGGTAGGCAGATGTAATGGCCACTTCGAAGATGTTTTTCAGCTCATCCACTAAACATATGTTGCCTTCAACGGAGTTGACGTCAGTGATTAAGGTAGGACGTTTTTTGGGTTCCTTTTGAACAGCTGTTGACTTAGACCCAGAACATTCAGCTTTAATCGCATTTTCTAAAATAACTAAGCGGTGTTTAAGTTTCTCATTCTCAGTGGATAGCTTTTCCAGCCGAGGGTCACCGATGTAACTGAGATCTCCTCGAGATATCTTGTCTAATTCTTCTTCTATTGCCTGTGCTTCCCTTTCTGCCTGCACCGTCCTTTCTTCTATAGTTTTATGATCAGACATTTTTAAAGTAATTGCAAATTTTCACTGGTATGTGTATTTCTGATAGAGAATTACTTCTAATACGATATATTTTTCAAAACCATTAAAATCTAGTAAGATTTTAGGTTATTGCCACCGCAACAAGCAACAAGAAAAACACATGTCATAATTGTCAAATATTTCATCAGCGGCATTTGAGTTTGACAGTTGTGTAAAAGATGTCGTTCAGAAACAGAAGTTATACATCCTTGTAAAACCCGCTTCGTCGATCACATACTAATTAGCGATAATATCAACTGAATAAAAGGTTTATTCGAGGTTATTTCAATAAACCCGTTCATTTAAATGGCTATGTTTTCATATTTTTAACGAGAAACACTTGCTTTGTTTAAGCTTTTATTTTCTCTTGCTCTGGTAAATGAAACTATTGAGCAGGAATGAAGAACAATATAACCATAGCAACCAAGGTCAAACAAACAGCGGCAAAAATATGTTTCAAAAGAGGCAAGTGTGATTGAAGATTTAAATTTATCAATAATAGTTATAAAAAGCGTGCTATTTTGTTATTTATGTTTTTTCACATTAATCCGGCTAATAGAAATTATATCAAAACCACTTTCCGTGTCAAGTGGGATAAAGAATGAGTTTAAAATCCAATAGATTTTTATATCTTCATCAAAGATAACAATAATTCCATGGCTCAAGAATGGCACATCAGCAAAATGGGCTTGACTATCCAAACAAGGACCGGGACCTACCTTACTGGCTCGAAAACCTTACCAAGTAAGTCTGACCTCTTTCTATTAGGACTACCCAGAATGATTAATGAATCGTTTACTTTACCTACATAAAGGAAAGACGTCAATATGGAAATTCTTGGTACAATGCACTCTTATAACTTCCGTGTCAAGGCTGGGCCAAACTAATAGGTACCTCAACTTAGTATACAATGTCTTCGAACGCTTGCTTTAAACAGTTATTTTTTTAGGGAGATGAAAGAAACGCACATTCGGAATAGCAACAGTGAGTCTCCAATCCTAGAGGATACCAAATACAAAATTGAAAATTGCAAATTAGAAGGCCGCAGGTAAGGGCCCGTAAGGGTATTTCATTCCATATTCCCACAGTTAGGCCACACTGTCTTGCATCATATTATATAATTATCTTAAAGCGTTTATAAAATAACATTGCAGATTAACGCGCCGGACATCGTTAGACACAACAATGGATATGTTAATGAAACCTCAGTTAGGATCTGTTGCGCACTCCGCTGGTACTTTGCGCCAGCCAAAATGTAAATAATTTCTAGATTTTAATAATTTCTTTGTTTTGTATATTTCACTCATTCTTTATTTTAATAGAATATTTTCGCACTTGTTTATAAAGCCTTCAGCCAAAACGGACGCCGTGTTTACAACGTAAGGGGTAAAATGGACTGGGGAGACTCGTCAAATGCCAGCTCCAATGACTTCCTATCAGACTTGCTGCCACATTACGTCACACCACGGCATCGTCGAGCGAATAATCTGATTGACGATGATTTCCATGACGTCATTTTAGGTCCTAGTAAGTTTAACGAGATAATAAATTGATATATTAATTTGCACAAACTGTCTAGGTTAACTTGATTACTTACATCTTTATTATTCCAGGGCCGCAGGAACCAAAAACTCGTAAAAACCTTTCCAAAGAGGGCATTACTAGCTTGCAAGAAAGTAATTCGATCAAAAGACAGGGCCCAAAAAATATAGCGAAGAAGCCTTCGTCATTAAGTTCGGTTCCACTTAAACATGGATTGAAGGACAAGGTCAAGAATGAGTTCGTTATCCCTGAGTTACCCGAAGGACGGTTGTTGGAGCTGAAGATTTTCTCTAACTGGGGTGACAAATACTTAGTTGGTTTGAACGGGATAGAACTCTTCGATTCCGTTGGCAATCCTGTTGTGGTCGAGAAGGTAATGATTGTATGTGGAATGGTCTATTTTTTTAATAACTTGATGTTATGAAGAGTCGTGGTGGCCCCGAGGTTACGGCGCCCGCTTCTCATGTATGGGAGTGTGGGTTCGAAACCTGGCAAGTACCAATGTGATTATTTAGACACCACTGACATAGGGTGAAGGTAAACATCGTGAGGAAACCTGGACTTATAATTTCCAATTAGAAGTTTGAAATCGCCAACCCGCATTGAGCAAGCGTGGTGATTAATGCTCAAACCTTCTCTGTGTGAGAAGAGGCCTTTGCTCAGCAGTGGGCACTTATAGGCTGATGATGATGATGATGATGATGATGATGTTATGAAAACAGAACCAACCGTTAATGGAAAAAAATAAACGACCTACATAGATTTTTCAGATTTGGAAATTGCTAAGGTACTCAATGAGATATCTAATTTAAAAACTCTTCCCAGGTGTGGACTGATTCAGATACAGGGGATCAATCGAAACACGGCCGCGTTGAGAACATAATAGACGCGGTGATGCGCACTCGTGATGAACGGCATACTTGGACAGTGCCAGCGCCGCGAGGGAACCCTATAGCGCTGTCTGTTTTGTTGGCTCGAGGCTCCAGGCTGGCATTGTTGAGGATATGGGTAAGAGGATCTATTATATGGTAGGTACTCAAAGTGTTGGCTGTCTCATAAGGTTGGACAGAAATATAAGTAAATGCCGCTTAGATCGTTGGATTATTGCAGTCATTTTAGATTGTAAATAATTGGGTGCTTAACTTAATTGGGGAAATTCAAGAGCCTTGCTTCAGTGCGAATAGCCTTGCTCGACTGGATGGATACCACGGCCTCACAGAATACCGACGTGAAACAACATTATCGTTGTGTTTCGCCGTGTGTGTGAGATTACCGGAGGCCCAATCTTTCCTCCCAATACTAGATCCAGAAATCTCCTATCCTTATATCCCTTATAACCCACAAAAGGGCGGTAACGTGCTTGTAGTATTTACTTGAAATATTTTATATTTTGTTTTGTCTAGAACTACAATAAATCGCGCATATATTCTGCTCGTGGCGTCAGATTGGTCCAAATAAAATTAGACGATCAAGTAATATTTCACGGGGAAATCGCGAGGTCCAGTGGCGAACTGAAGGGCCCACTGTCGTCGTTTGGTGATGTGAGTATACTATACCTATACTAAGTAGAATATAATGTTACCCACACATGTTTATACAAATAAAATCTTAATCTTTATCTTTAATTATAACTTAATATTCGTGCCATCACGATGACAGACAAGCCTACAGCCTACCTGACGGGCAACGCACTATGAGTATTCGATTATAAGCTATGTACAGGAATGTCCGCAAAATCAGAAGCTAAGGCTAACTGTAACAATAATAATGAGCCTGAATAGAACATCAATTTTCATCCGTTTTCAGTTTTCATAACGTCACTAAACCTTAGCTTTAGGCTAGGTATACATATCAACGTGTAACATTCTACATACCTATACATAAAATGGCAAAGGCACTCGCCTATTAATACATGACTATACAATAGTTGTAAATCGATCTAATTCTGTGGCGTTCTTGGAATTTGAAGTGCAACAGTATTGATTATACCTTCAAAGTTAAATTATATGTTGTGCCGATAGCTACACGTGCTACGGCTTTTTTGTACCTTGTAATAGGTGTTTTTTTTGTGAGGGGAAAGTCATCAAATGACTTCTCCCGCCCAGGGCCGGGCAGGAGGGAGTGTCAGACTCTTACTGACTAAAAACCCCCCTGTTCCTTCTCCTGCTCTGTGCCGAGGTCGCGGTACCTCATTGCGCTTACCCCGCAACCCCGGCTGAACATCAGCCCTTTAGGGCCCCGTCTGTGGTGGTCGAATGGCTCTTTGAGGCGCGCGCGGAACGCTACGCGCCATACGCTCGGGCCTGGTTCTGGTCGGGCGGCGAGCTGCCCTTACTCGTCGACCGCAGGCCCGTGCTTACGATGGCCGGAGATCGTCCCTCGATCCCTGACGCCCGTAGTGACCTTGTAATAGGTGAAAGGTCTTAAATAATTTAGGTCATTGTTGCGTGTCTACCTTTTGAAAGTCCTAAAATAAATAAATCCTAATCTAGACGAAACCTAAATGAATTTTTCATTAGGATTTGCTTCGTAATGATCGCACGCGTGATTAGGTTATAGTGTTTGTTTGAGTTCAAACTTCTTGTTGGATTAAATATTTACCTTAGGTTTGTCATTTCACATTCATTTAAAAGACATAACTTGCAAAAATAAAAGCATCTTTGAATTTTCTAGACAATCCTCTTCACGAAAGACCCCAATATACTGGAGGCTATAATGCAAAATGACAAGAACTTCCAAGCTTTGCTCAAAGACAATGAGCCGATGACTGATTTCTCTAATATTATCGAGAAGCGGCCCCCAACTGCAAACGATAGCAATCACAATATGAGTCCAACGGCACTGTTAGAGTCTCTGGATATTGATGAGAAAGAAATCAAGTATGTCGCAAAAAAAATTAAGATGACGCTCATGTCTACGTGGGGACAGAGGCAATTGGTTGGACTTACAGGTAAGATTTGTTAAATTAGATACTTCTTTAAAATTTTCTTATTTTTTGTAAGATTAGCAATAGAGCTCTACTCTCGCGGTTTCACCAACTGATCGGCTCCATTGATCGTAGCGTGATGTTTTATAGCTTAGCCCTATAGGTAGCACTCAGGAACATTGTAGCTATCAATAAGTGAAAGAGTTTTGGCAATCCGACCAGCGGCTCCAAAGATTGCCCCCTACATACACTTAGGTACTAAGCTCTTTATAATATTAGTAAGTATAAATAAAAAGATTGACGCAAGCCATAACAAAATACCAACCTACCCCTTATCGTAACTTCCGACTCCGTTATCTGGCCATTATTTTTTATTATAAGACAAATGGATTCGAATCGAAGTCATAATGATCCTTAGCATGAACGTTCTCAATGTTCATTGTTTTGGCGCCCAACAGGGATCGAACTCCTTTGCTACAACGAGCCGGTTAAGATTTACCGAGCGTATGCTTACACTGCATTTATAACTGAGGACCAAGCGCCGGAACACAGTAATCTCATAGAGTGCAAGAGTTTGTTCAACGGCAGGAACATCACCACGGACTTCGAAGATATGTGGTGCACTAACTTTGCGGCCGGCAACAAATTCTGTCATATTGTCATGGAGTTGGCGGAGGCTACTGAGATTACCAGTAAGAAATATTTTTATCCAGTTATTATGTTATAAATACCTAAGTATTACTGAAATTTATATTTATTTAATAAAAAAACATCATAACATTTTGGTAAAGGTCCATAAATTAAATAAGCTGCATTTTAAAATTTTCTGAGCTTATGAGATGTCAACAGTTTTCACTGAACCACTTCCGCTATCCCCCAATCCCATTTTTTAAATTGCGTGATATTTACCGATAGATACCGCCCCCTACCTAAAACATCTTACGTAACTAATGGATTAAATGTGTTCTAATTACCAACAGTCCTAAATTCATCCTTTTTGTTAAGGTATTCGCTTATGGAACTACAATGCCAACATGGAGCTTTCGTACATTGGGGCCAAACACGCGCGGATCTCCCTGGACGGGGCACCGCTAAACTACAGGCCGTTGTTACTGCGCCGGGCTCCCGGCGACACATGCTACGACTACGTGCAACAAATTGAATTGCTCTCTGTTGACGATAGGTACGAATTCAGTTGTATAGGAATCATAGCTTCTTACTTCACATGTAACTTTGGCCTATTTGCAAAAATATTGGTAACCCGTGAACGTGTAGTTTATTTATTTATTTTACACTTCTTGCACAACATACAATGGCGGACTTAACGCCTTAGACGTTCTCTGCCAGTCCACCTCTGGGTGGTGGAGAAATAGGAGTGGTAGGTGCATCTCTGTTGATAAAAACAAGGAAGAAAAAAAAAACAAACAAAACACATGCTACAAAATTATTGCTCATACTTACATAAATATCAATATAATATTAATATATACATATACATATTTTGGTAGCGGACATTAGCAGCTATTAACGTTCTCCTGAACTCAAACACTGATCTCGATATGTTTGTGGATGTGAATGTGGATGTGGATTAGTTATTGACAATGTAAACAGTGCTCTCTCAGAAATAGTTCACTGGTTTGGTGTTAATAACTTATTACTAAACGAAACTAAAACTAAATGTATTAAATTCACAACACCAAATGTTAAACAGGTAAAAACCAGTGTGCTTGTCAAGGGCGAGGAGTTGAGTCCTGTAGATACAACTGTCTTTTTAGGTATAACCCTGGACGCTAAGCTCCAGTGGGGCCCTCATATAGATGGCTTGTCGAAGAAGCTCAGTTCTGCAGCATATGCCGTTAAAAAAATTAGAAATTTAACAGATGTAGATACAGCGCGGTTAGTTTATTTTAGTTATTTCCACAGCATCATGTCATACGGTATTTTGTTGTGGGGGAATGCTGCTGACATTCAGTCTATTTTTGTTCTGCAGAAAAGGGCTATTCGATCAATCTATAATCTTAGTCCGAGGCATTCGCTCAGAGAATTATTTAAGGAAACTAAGATAATGACGGTTGCCTCACAATATATTTATGAAAATGTAATTCACGCTCATAAAAACAAAAGCTTATTTATGAAGCATAGTGATATACATAATATTAACACGAGGGGGAAAAACAAATATGTTGTCCCTGCCTCCAGGCTTCAGAAAATAACTAGTTCGTTTAGATGTCAATGTATACGCTTTTACAATAAAATTCCTAGCGATATTCAAAATTTGAGCCTCAATAAATTTAAAAGTGTAATAAAGGCTAAACTTTGCTGTAAAGCATTTTATAAAATAAAAGACTACTTAGAGGATAGTCAGGCATGGGAATGAGCCGCTGTAATGTCTGCACAGGTCATGTTGACATGTTTGTATAAGTTACAATTTTATATACAATTTGACATTACGTTAATTTTTTATTTTTTATACAATGACATAATCACCTATTGTGACATTTTATTTTTTATTTGACATTTTTTTTTATTTATTTATTGACATTTTTATTATTTTATATTATTGTTAGTGTAAGGACCGTGTGAGACTTGCCGTGCTTTTTGATTACCAGTTATCTGCGTTCTGACAGTTTGAGTACTTGCGCGACCCACCCAAATGTTCTTTAGATCGGTATTGTTCGTCGGACAACTCAGCAGCACTAGCTATACTGGTTGCAAACTGACACTTGCGTGCCTGTCTTCAGAACGGGTCCACTTAAACTGGTGTGGTTCTTTCCTCAAAAGACCACTACAGAATGAACTTGCACGATTCTCTCACATTATGTTATTTTTACATTGTCTGGACTTGAAAAGAGACTGACCTCTGAGTTTGTTTCGGCATTTCTTCTCAGAGTAGTCAGATAGGAAATGCCGGCTTCATCTAGTTTTTCACATATAAATTGACGTGTAAAAGTGCCGTTTTATGGCCTATTTGCAAAAATAAATTCATTGTTTCATTGATGAATGGAAGACGATACTGTCAGTGTGTTTGTAGTTGAGAGAAGAATGCACGACTTAATTAAATTTGTACCTACATAAGTGTTTGTTTTAAGTGTGTGCTTAATGAATTTATTGTATTGTTGGTGATATTTATGCGTCTTCTTTTTACTTATTGTTTAGTGTAGTTTATGTTTATATATGGTTTAAATAGTGTAACTGTCTTTTGCCTTAATTCAAAGGGATGGCTTGATTCTAGAGTAAATCTACGGTGCGGATATCTAACGTTAGCATTGTTCCTTTATCTTAATAGGTTGGACGATGCGAAGGATACGGATAGCTTCCGCATGGATTGCTTAGTGTACGGTACTAACCTGGACATGGGCGCACCGACCGGCTTCGTGCTACAGCTGAACATATTCTCTACCTGGGGCGACCCTTACTACGTCGGCCTCACGGGAGTTGAGCTGTACGATCCTCACGGCAACTTGATACCGCTTACTGAGACAAGTATGTATTGTTATTATAATAAGTAAATCCCGGTTTGTCTGTTTTGTTTGTATGTCGAAGTTGATTATTAATCGAATACAAGTAACTATATTTGCATATTTACGTCCTGTGCTACCCCTTCATCTTACTAAAAAAACGTCATTCATAAGTTGCTACTAATAAAATAATTGAGAACTCGAGAGCAAGACGAAGTGTCATGCTCTTATCGATTAAAAAGCAACCCGTTTATTCTTTTGCTCGGATTTGGGCCGCGGTGTAACATTTCGCTTGGACTCGTAGAAGTATGTATGTAAGTAGTAGGAAATACCTGAAGAAGCTTATCCCTTTTATTTTTGTTGGCTTTGTTTTGAGTGGATAACCATCAAATTACTTTCTGGCCCTCCTCCTGGCCGAGGTACTTTATTACGCTTATACTTCCAACCCCTACTGATTTTCTTCTTGTCTGATAGACGTATGCGCGCACCCAGCAAGTGTAAACGTATTGGATCCTCGCGCAGCAGACGTGCGTACGCCGGACAAACTCATCGATGGACACAACGCGCGCGTTGGCGACGCTTCCCATTCCTGGCTTGCACCGGTACTACCACATACACTCAATAGGTCAGTATATAACATTTATATTTTTGTGACATGACAATAAGTTTGGTTGAGCCATGCTTCAGCAGGAATTTTTTACTTGCAATAAACTAGTGCTTGACTGCGATCCCACCTGATGGTAAGCAGTGATGCAATCGTTGATGGTAAGGCGCACTAGTTTATTAAGAGCCTATTCACTCTACGCCTTGAAGACACCTAAATTGTATTCGGATCCCTCGATGTACGCGGTATAAATGACGAGGCAAAACGCTTAGTCCAGGCCGCAGGTGTCTCAACAACGTAGGGGTGGATATTCGCCGTACACTGGGATGTCCGAAGGTGAAATTGGGATGGCGGAATCAAATCGTGCAATTCCTGCGCACACTCTCCAAAATGCATCCTGTAGAAAACCGCAAGGCTGGCTACTCTGCGCCTGTGCTCGAGACTTTGAAGATTGGACCCAACCAAATCTGGATCACCAATCAGCCTCTTTGCACGCCTTTCCACTGAATCTAAAGCCGCTAGGTGGCATTTTGCAGCACCAGCTCATATGTGGCTGCAGTACTCCACACACGATCGGACCTGAGCTTTATACAACATTAGAAGCTGACTCGGTGTGAAGTACCGTCGGACTTTTGCAAGAACGCTGAGTTTTCTAGCAGCTACCTTGGCTCTGGACTCAATGAACCGCCCAAAGTTGAGGTCTGAAGCAATGTCCATTCCCAAGAGCTGAAGGCGGTCGGTGCACTCCAGGGATACATCCCGAAAAGCAGGAGCCAAGGTGAACGGGCTCCTTTTGGCGGTGAATAGACACGCCTGTGTTTTGGTGGCGTTGAATGTTACCAGATTAGTTTAATAAGTAGATCGGCTCGGCTCGGAGTGATACCACGGCCTTACAGAAAAATGGGATGAAAAAACCACAGCGTTGTGTATTGCCGAGTCAGTGAGGTTACGGGATTATGGGAGAAACAATAGAATTCTATTGTTTCTTTCCCTCCCCTAATCCCTCTCCAATCCACTTAACTCCACTGCTATTGAGGGTGTCAATGTGCGCGCCGTTTACTCATCATCAGGTAATCCGTCTGCTCTTTTGCTGTCCTATTATATATAAAAAAAGAATGAGATTGATACCTATCCCAAATAGGTACAATTCTATGGACAAGGGTTCAATAGAGCTGAATAAGAGTGCGTGCTCCCTTAAGTACCTACCTATTCTACTATAACTTGTGTTAAATCTGATAATAATTTCAGGGTGTATTTTGTATTCGACGTCCCGGTGTCTGTTTATGGCATAAAGATCTGGAACTATGGGAAAACACCAACAAGAGGCGTCAAGGAGTTTGGTGTAAGATCTTTTATCTTTTTTTTATAGTTGTTAAGATTCAGGTCCATCCTTTGGTGACAGACTCGTTAGATCTATTCAAACTTGTTCCAAAAGATAAAGTTGTATTTGATGGTTTCTAGGTTTTAATGGATGACTTGTTGCTATACAACGGAACTCTGGACTGTGCCAAAAGTGATGATAACCTCACACCGCAGTGGTTCTGCTTGCAGAATTTAGATGTCGACACATTGACACCGACGTAAGTAATCTTCCTTACTATCCGTTGGTCTATTGTCAAACCTAGTTACCTCTACTATGCCTTGTAGCCAATCGGCTAATTTTCGGCGGTTAATTTTGTTTGTTTGTAGTTTGCCGAGTAGGTAATCCCTGTATGCAAATTACGCCTTCGCTAAAAAATAAACGATCAGCGAAATGACCATTTTTAAAGTTGAAACAAGTTGTTCAGTGGTTGCTCATAATGTTTATATTTTTGTGTCTGCGCTGACAACGACGCGACGCACGATGCCAAGGCGCATGGCAACATAAACTTGTTCTAAGATTTATGATTTGTATTGGGATTTTTCCGCAGATCATCGGACATGAGCCAGCGCACGACGACGAGTGGCTCCAGCGAGAGCGCGGACCCGAGCGCGCGCCCCCACACCAGCGTGCACCTGCTGCACAAACACTAGCCGCGCCCCACGCCCCCGCCCGCCGAGCATTAACTTCTATCTTATAATCGTGACTAAATCATCCGCAGTAACGCTAACTAAACTAGCCGATTCCTTCGTTACGGACATAAATGACTAAATTAAACTGTGCTACATTGAGTTACAACCGAATTTGCCCCATTTTAGATTAATTCTTACGTATAAGACTTTGTTTAGGAACTAGATCGCATTCGATGTGCTATTTGCAGGAGATGTTTGAAATTTGAAGATTTCTTGACAGTTTAGTGTAAGATGGGTTTCTTTCGAGTTGAGCGTAGTTTCACTTGAGCACTCGGTTTCATTGAGAATATGTTAGTTGTTAGTAGGATATGCAGGCATGTAGAAATATCGTAGACTGCGCACCCGCCAAACTATTTTTTACCCTTGTTTATTTATACCACTTATCGTATCCTCGTACCTCATAAATTAGTATAAAAATGGTAAGAATTAAAACGCTTAGACGTAAATACATGTTGAAATGATTTGAATGTGTTAAAATATGAGTAATTTATAATGTGTATCTAATAGTGTCCGTCTAAAGTAAGTGTGGGTCGCGAGGCCTGTGATGGTGTTGCTAGTCGAAAATTATTGTAATTAGTTACGTGACCGTGTAACGTGAATTTTTGTACCACAAATAAATGATAATTTATAATCAGGTTATTTAATTTCATTTTTTTACGATTTCTTTTTTCAAAGTTGTAGTCAAAACATTTAATTAAATTATCCAATAAAAATATACTTTCAAAGTTGAATTGTCCGTCAGTCTGTTGTACATCATCTGAGGTATCTCCTGCAACCAAGCAGAATAGCAATACGATAGGTAGATATTATTTTTAAAGAAATACAGTTACTTTTTTCTTGGAAATAAAACAAAGAAAATAAATTCAGCTTCATTTATTGTTCAACTACTAACAATCACAGTTTATTATTGCAACTTGCAACATTATTGCAACTTGGCGACGAGATATCTTCAATTTGTCAATATTTGGTTCACTACTTATGATTTATTATAACTAATACATGGGACAAGTAATCGGGCTTTGTCGCTTATAATAACCAAATATAATTAATTTAATAATAACACAGCAATTTTTGTACTCTACAAGAGTAAACTAAAACAATATTACTTCAAGTTGTTTGTACGAAAATATAATTCGAATTGAAGGCAGTAAATACGGCAGTTGAAACTAGTATTTGTTTGAAGTTTTTAGGGTTCATTTTTGTTTGAAACGTCAGGCAGTTGTTTTTCATAGCAGTTTGTTAAAATAAATATTGTCTTTACTTCAGAGTTCAGACGTCCTAATATTTCATTGAGATGGCGCAATAAAATTTCGTTTTCATAACGCATTAATGTGTAAAATGATATAAGAATCATATTTTCGTACAAATAACTTTATCCGTAACTACACTATAAAACAATTGAGACAATAAAGCGTAATAAACACAAAGCAGTCTCAACAAATCAATGGAAGAATAAAATATAAGAATGTACACAATTTCTTCAGAAGGTAGTTATTGACTGTAACATTTTATTAGAAAATTACAAAAGACATATACAATACTCAAATAACTACCAAGAGTTTAACTTCAGTCTATCTCCAGTTCCTTACATGGCAACACTTACATTTAAGGCGGCCATTTTGGAATTCCACATTCGTATTTCAAAACCCTAATCAGGGTTGCCAATTCTCCGATGGTTTTTTGTCTACTTCATCTTTTTGCGTAACTTTTCTTAATTTTGACATGTCATAGTTTCAAGAGACAGTAATAGTTTAATTTCTTGGAACAAGTTTTAAGTAGATTAGGCAAAACAATAACGTTCCCGCCTCTAGCATTTCTAACCGACTTATTTGATATTAAGTAATCGTTTCGTAATACTATATTGAAATTCAAATACATATTTCTTATTTCGAGTAGTGTTAATGGAAACTTAAGCTCTGCGTTATAATCACTAACATAGGTAAGAGGTAGGGAACTACAAGTTAAGGTAGAATAACATTCTGGTCAACAATGTGAAGTAACTTTCACAATAAGGGCTACCGTTTTAGATCACTAGTTAGCGCAAGCATAGCTCTTAGCTACGTAGTGCCATTTCATTGGACATTAATTTTTGACAGCTACAGTCATTGGTCAAAATTAGCGCCATCTGAGGAACACCAAAACGGTAGCCCCCATTCCTTAAGAAATTATATCAAGTGAATCAAGCGTGTTTTCTTTAACTGAAGAAGTAGACAGACCTCAATACGCTGCTGAGGTCAAAATCTCCTTTACTAGGCACTTGTTGTAGAAGGTTGTTCACGCGTTTCTTGTTCGCTGCGCCAACGCTTCTGTCCTCCAGTTCGCTGAAATTTTCAAAACTTATGTTGACCGATATGAAGAAGTAGATATGCTAGCTAATTTTCGTAACCATTTATAACATTGGATCGATCATGTCTAGAGTAGACGTAGAGTAGTATGATCCATTCTTTTTGGGTTGCAAGCAATGAAAAGAATGTCTTTTTTGTGAGGGGTAAATCATTAAATGACTTGTCTCGCCCAGGGTGAAGCAAAAGTGAGTGTCAGACTCTTATTGACTTACCCTCCCCCCATTCCTTTTCCTGCTTTAGGCCGAGGTCGGGGTACCTTATTGCGCTTGCCCCGCAACCCCGGATGTATAAAGTTATTTCTTTTAATATGGATAAACTCACCTCTCATCATAACTGTATCGTTTTGTGAGAAATTCTGATAAATCTTCTAGGATCGGCTGCGAGTGCAGGGCAACGAATTGTTCACGGCAAATCTGTTACAATACAAAAATCTTTATTGGATAATATGGATAAATGAATAAACTAGGATTCCCTGTGCTATACGTGAACAATAAAACGAAATAAAAGTATTGTCAATTTGACGTTTCAATGGTGCATCTGTGTGAATTATATTATTGAAATAAATGCGTTGATGTGTTTTCTTTTCTAATGGTATTTTCTTATATACTTTGCTGGGGTATCCGAGGCAGTTCATGTCTCGTGTCACAGTAGACTTTATTTTACGGTGTTGTCATGGTATGTATCTACACTACATCTACATTTTTATTTTAGCAAGGTTATATAATTCAGTTAATGTTTACCTTGTTCATAATATCGACGGTATTGGGATGCGTCCAGAAGCAGTCGTGTACGGAGACGAAGGTGACGGCGGCCGCCTCGCAGTGCAATCCCGTCAGCATCATGTGGGACGAGTCCAGCGAGTGGATGAAGTTTGGGGGGAACGCGTTACGCTGCTTCATTGTACAGGGACGTCTAGAATTTGAGATTGTTTTTATGTTATAGGTCGGCAAACAAGCAGACGCATTAATTATAAATTTATTAAGTAATGGTAAGGAGAGACGGGTTACCTGATGGTAGCCGGAAATCTCGATAAAGGATTTAAGGATAGGAGATTTGAGGATTGAGGATGGCGTAAGGATGGAGTCACACGGCGAAAGACAACGTAAATGTTGCTTAACGCCGTTTTTCTGTGAGGCCAGCCCATTCTTGGCGAAGCAGGGCTCTCCCACAGTTTACACAGAACAGTCAAATTCTTCTTAAACACATAATTACATTTCCGTTAAGACCTTAAATGACCATGTTTTCATAAAAATTAAAAAGTAATATTTCACTGACACAACCAATTTTAATAAAACTTAATACTTATACTAAATGCATTACGGTCTATAATCGGTTGAAAGATTTCAGAAACACGAGTTTGGAAGAATACTAGCACTTTCATATAATACTTACTGGTGTTGGTCTAGAGCCGGTCGGTACTGTCCGCTGGAGGGTCCAGCTCTCCTGTAGTAAGGCTGCACTACGGGTAGGCCCAGTGGCGTCACCCATTCTACACTCTCGCCGCATACCGCTGATATTAGTCTGTAAGAGAAAACTAACTTATGTACCTTGCGTCAATTTACAAGCCGTTAACTATCGAAGGATTGTGACAATTTGATGCTATAGCTGAGAAAATATATAAGAGATAATATCTCTTAAACATATTTGGCCTTACTACAAAACACGGTTTTTCTTTAGCCATGTTTAATCATTGGTCCATTTTTTTCTAATTCAAATTGAAGGTAGATAAGAATCAGATTCAAAATACAAAACCTGACTCAATGGTTTTAACCTAGATTAAACAAAGGGGGATTATGTTTTCACTCACAGTAAACTTTTTTATGCAAAATATTAAAGAATTTTTGAAGTTTGATTACAATAAATGAGTCTGCCGGAAAACTGGTCCATAATAGAAATACATTTACCAAATGTAAAATTGAAATTAATTTGAACTAATTTTGGTAATTCCTCTATTTTTTTATGTTTCGACAAAGAAAGGAGTTCTGAGTAGATAAAATTCCGAAAAAAATATTATGTTTCGAGTAAATGCAATGAACTTACTTGGCGCAGTCAGTGAACCAGTCCTGTATCAGCTTGGTGGAGGTGAACATCTCGCGCAGACTGTCGAACGTCTTCGCAGTCAGGTACTGCGAGCACGTCCATACGTGCTCCTTCGGGAACTCTTCTATATCTGCAATAGGACCGTAAGCGTTTTAAAATAGGAATACGGGAGAGAAGAATAAGAAAGAAAACGAGCACTACATTCTGACTGATAGACTACTATTCTATGTTGACGTTTCAGAAGTATCTATTTATGGTTTAGTTGGAATTACGGCATCGAGAACCGGTCCCATTTTAGGAACCGGTTCTTTCGGTTCTAAATTTTAGACGGCGCCGGTGTGCCGCCGGGTGTGGCGACGGCGCGGGGTGCCATGGAGCATTTATTTCAATGTCCCTTGTTAGTTTCTTAAAGATTTATCATTGATAATAAATTATAACGTTATTTATTGGTTTAATAGTGAAATAACTGCATATATTCTGTCTTATATAAGTTCCGATAAATCCGCAAGGCAGCTTGTGGCGAGCTGTTGGACAGTCGCGACCTGACTCCCGGGAGGTGTCTTGTTCTTCATCTCCGGTAGCCTCGTCACGAGCTAGAGTGAAAACTGATGAAAAACAAGCCTTCCTACCTCAATTTTGCCTTAATTGGCTGGCTTGAGTGGAGATTCGCAAGAGTAGGAGTTGAAGGAGACTCGGGGGAAGGATGTAAGGTGCTGGGAGGGGTCTTGACCGTACTTCCGGGATTGCTCTGATAGCCGTAGGATGCCTTCCCCAAGCACTCAATGTATGTTGGCTCCATGTCGCAACAGGCTAGCGGCAGTTTCCGGGGACCCATTAATTGAATTTGCCAGTTACCCCCTGCCTGTCGTATGTATCCATATTGGTCAGGGGCAGGAGCCACAGTAAGTCCATAGTTATCATATCCACCAGTCCATAGCAACCCATATCCATAACCCTTTTAATTATTACCACATTTCGCAACAGTCCTGCCTCAACCGGGGATTCTATCAGTGTCTTCCAGAACCGGGAATTCCCGGTTCTTTTGGAACCGGGAAAAACCGGTTCTCATGCCCTAGTTGGAATACATTATTTTGTCTTTGACTTGAATTATTCAGCGTCTCCTGTAAAAGAAACATCGAACCAAACGAGAAGCGAGGTGGGCAGCACACTCGTAACTCCTTAGATATTGCGCCGCCCATGGACACCCGTCCATGGGCGGCGCTGATTGCTTACCATCAGGTAATCCGTTTGCTCATTTGCTGACCTCTCACATAAAAAATAATAATAATGAGGAATAGATTATACACTTATTAGGAACTGAATGTCATACCTTTCAATTGCTTAGCGATCTGCAGCCGGGCTCCGAACTTGGTGACTCCATAGACTGTGGTCATAACAGTTTGTTTGATGACCTTCCTCCGCACGAAGTTCTCCAGGATAATCGCAGCTGGCACTCCGGCCGCCGCGTCGCGAACTCTCATCTCTTCCACCTGTGAATAAAGTTTCATATTTATTATAGCGTCTTTAGAGTATAATATACAGTGGTAGTGTAGTAAAGAGCTTTATAAGTTATGTAAATAATTATAAAGACATGTCAAAGTGCATATCGCCGAACAAATTACATGGCACAAACCAAGACATGTAAGGGATTACTCACACACTACTTACATACATCACTGTTTTTGTTATAGCCAACAATTATTATAGCTATATAGCTTTGTGGCATTAGTCTAAACTTGATATTGGAGTTTAAAATAAAATGTGAAAACATATATTTAGTTGATTTTTTTACGAAATTATGAAAGGCTTCTGTTTGGATAAATTTATTTCAGATGTCTTATTTTCCCTAAGCTGTAGAAATATTGTTCCAAACATCATCTATCATCCATGTTTAAATAAAGAAATCCATATAATGAGTAGAGTAAGTAAGTTACCAGCGCGGCGACGGCGCTGTATACGTCCTGCGGGCGCGGTAGCGGCGCGAGGTTGACGGCGCGCGCGCCGGCCGCGTCCCCGCCCAGCGCCGCGTAGTGCTGCAGACCGTTGCACGACCCGTCCTGGTGCACAGGGAACCCACACTGGTACTCTGGCCGAATTAACAACATACATTTATTTGTAGCTCCTTTTGAGGCAGAAGCAATGGTTTATTCTCAAAAATGGCAGATATCCACACCGTATGTGGGAGAGCCAAGATTCGGCACGAATGTTGGCCCGACCGGAGTGATACCACGGCCTCACAGAAAACCGGAGTGAAACAACCACACTGTTGTGTTTTGACATGTGAGCAAAGGTTACCGAAGGTCCAATCCCTCCCCCTCCACCCATCCCTTCTCAAGACTTAAACATCCGAAACCCTTATCCCTAAAAGATCGGCAACACACACGTAACTCCTTTGGGAGTTACGAGTGTGTTGCAAGTACGGGTGTCCATGGACAGCGCCGATAGCTTACCATCAGGTAACTCGTTTCCTCATTTGCCGTCCTATCACATATTAAAAATAAATGTCCAAAAAAAATTTACTTAATACAAAAATATAGTTATATAAAGTTTAAAAAAAAAACATCTAGATTTTATCAAAAAATGTCTACCTTCATGGTTAGGCGAGCGCACAGCGTTGGCTATCTCCATACAGCAGGCGAGTGTCTGCCAGGGCTCCTCGGACTCCGCCCACCAGCGCTCGCCCTCCAGAGGCCGGTCTGCCGAATCCAAGATCTTATCCATTATACTGTCTGCGTACGCCAGTCTGTGAAGACAAAATAAATACGGTTACGACACTTATACACATATGTCTCGTAAATGACACTATGGTACTAGGGGTATCATATACTTGATACACTTGTTGTTACAATGTCGACTGTTTAACCTGCGCTTTAAAGGCCTTTTTTTCATAATATCACACAAAAATTGTTCCGTTCGGGAATTAAACCCGCGACACGTTGCACGGCAACCGGTTGTCCAGTGCCCACGTCAATCGTGTAGTCGAAACTATGAGGGTTTAAACATTGTTAAATCTTTGAATCTAAACCAGGATTTCTTGCATAGTATAGCTAGTTACCAAGTCTATTTCTATTTAAAAGCTATATATTATGTAACATTATTTACAATAGTAGAGATTAATCTATGTATACTAATAATATTATAAAATTGCAGAGTTCGTGCGTGCTAATCCCCAGAACTACTGGTTTGAATTGAATAATTTTTTTTGTGTTTGTTAGTACATTTATTGAGGAAGGCTTTAGGCTATAAAACATCATGCTACGATTTGTAGGAGCCGAGCAGCGAGTGGAACCTTGCGACAGAAGCTAGTGAACGATAAATAGTAGTGGGGAAACGTACCTCTCTTCAACAGTGGCCTTCTTCATGGTGCCGGTGAGGTTGATGGCGTGTAGCTTGAGCCAGACGAGGCCGCGCGGTCCGAGGGCGCGGCGGCGCGCGAAGGCGAGCAGCGCGCGCTGCGCGTCCGCGCCCAGCGCAGACACGTGCGGCCCGCACGCGTACACGCGCCCGCGGAAGTCCAGGTTGTGCGGCAACCAGAACACCGAGTCTCTGCAGACAATATACACCGTTTTACTCTAGCTTATAAATAAACTTGGGATTGGGGACTCGTGGGGGTGTCCCTACCGAACAGAACGTGATAGGCTCCACACCTAGACGCCCCACCTGACTTGAGTCTTCCGCCGGAGATTGTGGAACCGATGGTTCGGGCCCTATTCTCCACCCTCTGCCATGCCCAATGTGGGTCACAAAGATTATGTTGTCTCCGTTCCGGAAAAGCCCAAAGTAGAATTAAAAAAGACATGTGCTACCTGGCGTCGCTGTCTTACTAGTCTCTTCAGCACATGTATGGAAACCACCACCAGAAAAGGTTCCATTGACGAGGAAGACGGTAAACTGGTCCTCATGAGAGCTCTACGGCGCCCTGCGGACTTTCGGTCCACGTACCGACTCATTGTGTTGTTCGACGACAAACTCTTGGAACGGAACAGTTTCGCATCGCATATGTGACTGAATGTGCAGAATAGCCAGTTCGGTTTTCACAAAGAGCGCTTCATAATGAACGCCATCATGCGCGTGATGGTCCTTACGCCGTAGAGGGCAGACAGTGTCTTTCTTTAGACTTCGCTATCTTCGCTATTGCCGTTAAGTGAGCTGTATTCTTGAGGCACTCCAGTACCACCAAACCGACTATATTAGATCTCTGTGGCAGATATATTAGATATTTTGAAAGAATACATACCTATAATGGTTGGCAAGCGACAATTTATACAGTGCATCGCACCATAAAGAATGCATTTCCGCGCGCGCTCTATTGATGGCGACGCGACGTTTAAACGCGGCCGCAGCATCCGTACCGTCTTGGAACTGAGATGTATCTAATTTAGATGATGGAGGAGCAATGTCCAGCTTCTTGTTGCCACCTTCCCTGTAAAACAAATGTTTCATTTGTAAGCTTCCAGTTATTGAACAAAATGTTACTTGAAGAAGCTTCTAATGAAATTATTTTATTCAAAGCAAAATTTAATTTAGGTAATAAAAATATTATAAGGCCTTAGCAGAACAATATTTGATAATAATCAAGTCATTACTTTTTAATAGTTAGATCAGTGATCTATTTAAAGTGATTTCAAGGTTATCTATTCATTACTGAACACCCTGTATATACGAGAAACAGGATTTTAGGCTCAACAGCTCCATCTGTGTATACGAAATTTATATACTTAATTTAAAGCATATTTTACCTGAATATCTTGATCTGCAAGTCCAGTATAGGCTTGTTGATGACCCAGGGTACCTCGCCCAGTTGGTTGAGACTGTCCAGGACGGGGTACAAGCTCTCAGGGGGCGCTGACTCAAGTCGTTTCCATTGACTCATCACATAGAAAGGCATTCTGGTTGGTAATATAATATTGAGTTAGTCGTGTTAAAATACAAAAATAAAGTGAAATAATTTAAATGAAGGCAGACTAAAAAGGTCTATCGTAGACTAATACTTGATTGCAAAATGTTTAAATTAGTTTTTTTTTTTCTAATTATGTGTTTTTTTACTGCTCCTGTAATTTGAAATTTAATGGCGTAAAAAATACTTCACGAAATTTAAATGTAAGTTCATTTGAGTACAGTTTCGAACTATAGTGCATGTGTAATAATAAATGGTAAAAGCAATAAATAAATGTCTTCCCAAGTCCTTTTTGTTTTTTGTAAGGGGGAAATTATCATCTTCTCCAGCCCAGTGTTGGGAGGGTATTCGTATCTCATACAAAATACAAAAAAGGGTTGTTATTGACCTGTCGTTAAACATATCGAATTTAAGTAGTTGTGAAATACCATATTGTCAGGTTTAATTTCAAAGTGTATGTACCTGACGAAGGGCGTGGGCGTGACGAGGTAGGCCCCCCTGGCGGGCGAGGCCCAGGGCGCGGGCGGCGCGGCGGTGGGCGTGAGGGCGGCGCGCATGCGCAGGCCGGGCGCGGCGGCGCCGCCCCACAGCCGCGCCAGCGCCGGGTGCGGCTTCAGCTCCAGCCGGACCACGCGCCCCCACGGACGGTGCACCTTGTACACCGCCGGCAACTTCTTCCTGCGACAACGACACTTCTATCACTCAATGTTTCCTCGTCTGAATCATACATTTTACACATTAGCTACGAAACAATACAGTTCAAAATCTATGAAAGAAATACAAATGGATTGTCTATGCCCTTGAATGCTGTTGGTCAACAATAAGTCAGAAAAGGTGTCCTATTTTTTTGTCATTAAAATTTTCTCCTGTGTCGTGGGTGCGTTTACAAACACACAATCACCTCATTTTTATGCAATCTTTCATAGCAATAACAGTAAGAAAATAGAATCGTTATCACTTACTCTTTAGCAGCTTTAGTCTTAAACATGTTCACATCAATCTTGACATCGTTGATTATAATGTTGTACAGGAACTTGCCGACATTCTGTTTCATTTCCATCGGCCACTGCGTCTCCTCGATATCCTGGACAAATTATTAAAATAAGAAAATAATTGAATGTACAAAAGTAAGATCTTTCCCAATCTCCTCCAACTCTCAAATCTTTAATAACTCAGAAAGGGCCGGTAACACAATACCCCAACGCAAAAACTCCTTTCGTGTCGCATACCTTCGTAGCGCTATTTGCTTACCATCGGGTAATCCTCCTACTCGTTTGCTTAACCATCCTTTTGCTTTGCCGTAGTTGGGTAAAAAATAGTCTAATATCATGTAAATTATTTTTAACAGCTTATTGACGTCGTTGTTCAACGAGGCATCTCGACTTGTTTCAAATCACGCTAGGGGCTTATAGTAGTGATCAGAGCAATTAAATAGTTCTGTGTGTCGTCAAGTCAAGTCATGAGACATGAGAGACATGATAAAAAGATTGACGTATTCTAATATTGATCTTATATTCTTATATTGATCGTGTAAAATTAACCTTAATACTATGGAATAATCCATAGTATTAAGGTTAATTTTTTTTTTTTTTTTTTTGTTTTTTTAAAAAACGTTGCCCCACATTAGGATTTTCTCCTGTGTCGTGGGTGCGTTTACAAACATACAATTCCACATGCACAACACACCCAGACCCGGAACAACAATTTGTGGATCACACAAAGAGTTGTTCCGTGCGGGAATCGAACCCGCGACACGTTGCACAGCAGCCAGTTGCCCAGCCACCGCGCCAACCGTGCAGTCATTTATAGTAAGTTTCATTTATAATATTTTTAGTATTCACTGAATTCACTGAATTCACTGAATAAAATAAGCCATATGGTAAACTTACCAAGCTAGCTCCTTCTCTATGCATATGCACGAGTGCCTGCCACGCTTGCCGGCCGTTATAAGGGGCGCCCGTACCGTCCACTGAGTGTCTGTTCACGTACCACTCGCAGTACTTCTCATAAACACGCTCAATCTTCTGCAAGATACCGTTACGACGGTACTGCTCAATTTGATATCTGAGGAAGAAAATAACCGGTTATAAAATTAAAAAACCACCTTATGTCAATAAAGTATGGCTTATTTTGCCATGGAGCTTCAGTTATGGTAAAAGTTTAGTGAAATAGATGGTTTTTATTTGGTATGTAGAATTCTTTACTTTATATTGATGGAGTAACAAAACTCGAATGCAAATAAAAATAATAAGTATTTAGAATCCAAATGAAACCGGAAATCCTAGTGTAAGATCCAAAAAACAATTTTTTTATATATTTAAAAGAAATCTTTGGGATAGTAGAGCATAGAGTATTCATATACACTTTAATTTTTTTCTGTGTCGTGGGTGCGTTTACAAAAATTACAAACATATAATTTTACATACACATCACAGCTAGACCTGAAACAACAATTCGTGGATCACACAAAGAGTTGTTCTGTGCGGGAATCGAATCGCATTACTTTTATTCATAGTGTCACAAGTACAAATATAATATATTTATGACGTGCAGATATATATCTAGGAGGGGTAATGAATAACTTACTTTTGATAGACCTGTGTCCCTAAATCTCTCTGCAATAGTTTTAGTGTAGGGCTGTATGTCTCACTGCCATCCACCAGCTTGGTCAACTCACCCATTATTAGATCTACAAATTGATCCACCTGGAAAAAAATTGCAGTACCATAAATAAACACTATTAGTCATGTCAGAACTTTAATACTTATGAGTATTTTAAAATCAACATTCCTTATTTTATAATGTGAACAAAATATCAAGAGATAGGTAGTAAGTCTAAACGGATATCTAAATATATAAAAATAGATCAAAATGTGTTGGTAAGCGCATAACTCAACAACGCCAGGACCAATTTTGGTAATTATTTTTTTGTTATGTTTGTTATTGTCAGGAGAGGGTTCTTATCAAAGAACATATTAGAAAAATTGAGGGGAAAATTGGGAAAAGTGACCTTTTGAAAGCGAGATAGTTGGACCCGTGCGAAGCGGGGGTAGGCTGCTAGTTATTAATAAAATTAATAAAGCTAAAAGTTTTTATGATATAACACAAAAAATCTACAAAACAACTGAACCGAATTGAAAAATAAAACACTTGTATGTATGCTACATTTATTGAGACAAGCTTTAGACTATAAAACTTCACTAATAGAGTATGTAATGTAAAAATTAAAAATAATTGCAGCTTACCTCTAAAACCTTAAGATACGGGTACAACGTGATGGCAGTGTGCGAGGCACTGCTCTGCGACTTCAGCGTGCCGAGGTTGCGTATAAACGACTCCTTGATCACGCTTCGCCATTCCTTCTCCGTCTCGGCTAGCTTTTTTCTCTGAACATAAAAATTGTTAAGTTACAATCAATTCTTAAAAATAAATGAGATAGATGTTCAGTTTAGTAAAAAAATAGTTAAGATCTAGTTTATGGATGGGTTCCTATTTACCCGACTGCCAAAGAAGGAGGGTAATGTTTTTCGAGTGTATGTAAGTATGTATGTATGTCTGTTCCTTTGTGACCTCCTGTAGCCTAAACGGCTTGATGGATTTTGATGTATGAGGTATCGTTAGATTTGTCTTGATTACGGGAGTGTCATAGGATACATTTTATCCTAAAAGTCCCACGGGATAAAGACATAATAATATTTTTTCTAAATTTCCCTTTAAAAAAACAGCTAAAAAGTTATAAATAAAAAAATTATTATTAAAAAAACAAAATACCCGACTGCACACTAAAAAAAGAGTAAAACAAGCCCCACAATACAAATTTACTGAATATAATTTATAAATGTTGATGGAAAGCATCGCAGGCGGGGACCACCTTGACCGCCACCAACGAAAATTCTGCTAAATGGTGCACAACAGAAATGACTATAAATAAGCCTCTGTTGGTCCCCGCCTGCGATGCTTTCCATCAACATTTATAAATTATATTCAGTAAATTTGTATTGTGGGGCTTGTTTTACTCTTTTTTTAGTGTGCAGTCGGGTATTTTGTTTTTTTAATAATAATTTTTTTTTTATATAATTATATAGGTCGGCAAACGACCAGACGGATTACCCGATGGTAAGCAATTAGCGCCGCCCAAGGACTATTGATGTATACCAAAGGTGTTAGTACAAGTGCGATAAATTCTATATTCATATTTTGCCAGGCAATAACCGTCAAGGTCTTTATCCTGATTATCCAAAAAAAAATTTGTTACTTACACAAAACTTTACTGATTCTGACTCTTCATCCTTAACACCAATATTCTGTATTTCAACTTCTCCTTTCATTTCTATGTTCAATTGTTCTTTACCTTTCTGGATCATTTCCTCTAAGGAGAGTATACCTTCTGCGGGTGACGTCATCAGGCCATGTCTATTCTCGACTTTGTCTAAAGTAATATTTTTAAGTAAAGAGCAGTTGTAGTCTAGGACCGGCGCTGTATATTGAGGCTCGAATTCCGGTTCTATCCTATGTATTGCCTTCAAAACTACTTCCCGTTGGTCGTATAGGAATTTAGTTTTGTCTAACAAGTCATTTAGTGATATATCCTGAAAGTAAAAATGTTAAATTGTAGCAATTTTAACTTCAAGGTTTTAAGATTACTTATAGTTCATAAGACCAAAAGCGACGACAGCGCCACCATAGCAGAAGTAATTAAATTAGACAGTAAAGTAACCTTTTGTAGCATCTGATGTTTATATTGCTGAAGCAGTTCCACCTTGTCTTGTTCGTTGCTTCGTTCTACACACTCGAACATCGCGGCAAACGTCTGTGGGTTAGCTTCTACGCCATCTTCAGACATGTATGACAACAGTTGTTTGGCATTATCTAACAAACCCTGTAAAAAAATTGCTACTTTTACCATAATATTCGGCTTAACCAAATTATTTTTTTTTTAATTTGACACTGGCGATCCCGAAGGAGGAAAGTGTAAGCTTGGTTGGCTGCCCTTGTTCAAAAAGAAGTACCTACTGTCTATTAAATCAGGTTAATTAACTACTCTAGTCTCTGAATACATTTTATTTTGTTAGATAAGGATGAAAATATTACTCACAGTGAATGCATATCCATGTAGCAACGTGTTGTATACTTTGACGTCGTTAATTTTAGGATGGCTAGCGACCCTCGAGCCTCTCTGTCGATAATACTGTAATACTTGGTGCGCCTGTAACAAAACATAAATATTGGATGACAATATTATCCTGAAAGCCTATAAAGTCTATGTGTGAAAGGACGTAGGTTAAAAATGTACGAACCACACACGTTATTATTTCAATATTAATAAATATAATTATGAAAGGTTCGCTTTTTGTTTGCTAGAGGGAATGTTTTACTGATTAAAAACCGATTCGATCCTTTTTCTGGAACGGGAGCCAGGTTAAAATTGTTGTGTTTGCAACCCCAAGTGCATACGTACGCTCAACATATTTTTATGATTTTTATTTACGGAAAATGTTAAATGCAGTTTAAGTTTGTTATTGATGTCAGTCAATACTGTATTGTAATGTAGTACGATGTAATATGGCGTAATGCCAGACATGATAGCTGGTGAAAATGAACTATTATATTAAACCTACATTTATTACCCTTCAAAAGGATATGTCATATGTTATAATATTTATATTTGTTTAAGTAGGAAGAGCAAGGTCTATCCCGACACAAGTATCTTCAGATTACTTTTTAGGAAGCCCTGGCGACTTAATTATACGAAAAAATCTGTCAATAAACACATTTTATTTTATTTTTTTTAAACATGAATTATTCTTAACACTAGTAAACATTGTGTTTCAATTTTGGGATAACACTCAATCCATCATTCGTCTTGGCTTATCGCAAGTCGTCGGTCAGCGACACTTTTGATAAGATATCAGAGATTTTCGCATAAAAAGTAGGTTACAGAGATGCGTAAATATTTTGAATATATTCGACGATCATAAGTCTTCTCAACAACTGATGTAAAATGCAATTATAGAATTATTTTTATTTAAACTGAACTTGCTAATTATGTATAAACTCGGCTATAGTTAGGCAAATAGACACGACCTACATAATATGTTTCACGCGTAGCCATTATTATTGTGCTAATTGACACAGAAAGTTCGTGCCAACGACTCTTTTGAACAAGCAGTTAAAATAGGATAGACATTTTCAAAAGAAAGCAATTTTGTACTTACTTATCTAGCAAAGGGTGTTTTTTATTGTAAACTATAAAAATATACAGGACAAACTTAAAATATGATATAGATTTGGGTGGTCTTACTGCTAACTGTGATTTGTTACAGACAACCTTTAGATAGTACATTTATATTGATATAATATTATGCCACCATAAATAAAAACAGCCTATTAAAAATAGGTTGTTCTTCTAGAATTCTCACCTCTTGTATCATGTTTAATGAGCAGAGAAGTTGCAGATGAGCAGTGAGCACTCGATGCAAGGATTCTTGCTTGCCTTGTCGCTCTACATCCTTGATGTCTTGCTTCATACTCAACTCTTGCTTGGCTCTTCGCTTATCCCGCTTTGCTTTAATTTTGTCTCTCATTTCTTTCTTTCTATAAAACAAAATAGATCTTGTATAAAACACATGCTAGTAATTTATTTCAAACAATAAAATAATAAAATTTGCCTAATTTCTAAGGACAAATAAGTGACTGTTTTATTTGCAAAAAACTTTGAATTCTCTTTTTAATTTACAATTGACTTAGATGTAGTGAAAAAATTTTCAAACTTACGCCTTTTTAATTTTTAATGATTTTGCAAGTGCTGGTTCTTGACTAGGTTCCATATCTAGTTCTTCCCTCGGGTCTACTATTTCATTATGTAGCGCTGGATCATCATAAATATCCTCTATTGCTGGGTGTGCTAAACCTTGAGCTCTGAAAAGGTAGGAAAATATTTATTTACTATTTAATTACTTACTTAGATACTGATAAAAAAATTGATTGAATTGATACTTACTGCATATTAGATATGTGGCTCATAAGTTCTTGATCATAGCTATCTAAATGGTTATCTATAAACAATTCCCTAAACACAGCATGAGGACCTTTGGGCAAGTGATCAAAGTGTTCATCAGACTTGGGGTCAGGTTTATTGGTAATTGTTGCATTCAGATCAAACTCTTGAGTCAATCCTTCATTTATTGCATACCTAAGGTCTTGCAACTTTTGATCATAAAGGGTAGCTTTTCTAAAATCATAATAACTTTCTTTTACCATATTTATGTATTGTTTTGTCTTGAATTTGTCTTCAAAATTAGAAAGTGGATGAGTAGTGTAAACAAGTGCACATTTATCATCTTCTAACATAATATCTGGGTGGCCTGACTTCTCAGAACTGGTTTTTGATGATGCCTTCTTAGTTGTTTTCTTTAAGATTTTATCCCTAACTGTTTGAAGTAGTTCAGGATCCACTTCAGCCACTTTCAAGTTCTTTGGAGATTTAGTAGTGAGTTGATGTAACTGGCCAAGTGACACTGGACTAGAAGCTAACTTAGAAAGATGCACAGCTCGCAATTTGCTGATTGAAACCTTAGTTTCAGTCATTGCCTGGTCACCAACTAAAAGAAATAAAATGAAAAGTTTAGAGACAACTTATTTTATATGCAAAGGTCAGTGATAAAAAAGTAAACAAAACATACCTTCTAGTAACTCTGCATATTTCTGATAATTCTTACGTTTCCCCTTTTTTCTTAATGAACTAAGTAGATTAGCCGTTTTCGTAGATTGGTGTCTCACAGTATATAAATATTCTAGAAAAAGTATATATATTAGAAATGTTATGCAACTGTATAACCTATATATAGTGCATGTAGTTATATTCTATAATATACGATGGCTACATTAGATCATAGTTTGTATTATTAACTTTGATTTACCTGCACCCACACGGCCTAATAAAATCCTTCGGCAAAATGAACATTTTATTTCCGTATTTGATGTACTTATCAATGTATTATTAGAAGACAGCGAAACTCCATGTAAAGTACTTTGATACAAATTCCTGGCATATGCAATTCGATGCATTGTCGCCAATTTAATTCAAAAATACAAGTAAATAGTGTAAAACATGCCGAAATGTGTAAAACCACGTGAAAATTGTAGGACGAGTCGCAGAACCAAAATAATATCCTAGGGATGTGCACCTGTCATTCTTGTCAAACGTTAAATACCAAAACTGTCAAGTGAAGTAGGTTCTCAAGAACCGATGATACGTTTACGACGTTTAGTCGATTTTGATATCATTTTTTGTGTTGCACGATGTTAAATTGTGTCATCTGAAAAAATATCAAAACAATTCGCCAACTTCGCCAACTTGTCACAATCGTTTTATTTTTATACGAAATTGCTATCAATTTGTATTCAAACAAATATTTAGCTCATAAAAAGTCGTCTGAAAATCATTCCAAACCAATTTAAATACTAGTATCAATAATATGGAGGACAAAGCCTTTACATGTAAGTTGTTCAGGGTTTTTGGTCAAAACAATTCGTCGTTATTTTGATGAAGGGAATCCTAAAATTTGTATGTTGTGTGTTTTAGGGACATCTGACCTCAATAAGAGACTGTTACAGCTACGTTTTGAGAATGACTGGCTTTTTAAAAGCAAAAAGCAACCTTGGAGGTGAGTGTCAACACACAGGTTTCTTAAAGGAGAGATTGTAGAGTTCTCTAAGAACTCTATCAGGCTTTTTATTTAATATTACACTTTTTCTCTGTAGTTAAAAAAAACCTTGGAATATGAAACAAGTCTCATTACAACTTAACTAATGTTTTCTATTAAACTGTGAACACAATTACTCATATAAAATCAATATCATCATTATCAATCTTTAAAATCTAAATTCTTTTGCTTTTCTTAAATTGGTATTGGCTACATACCACTATTCAAATAAAATTATAGAAGATCAAATAAAAAATGTAAGGTAATGTTATTTTATTACCTATAGCATTGTTATTCTAACAAGAATGTTATTGTTTTCAGTGAGTTTCGCAAATTACTGTTAGACAATGGATTTCCTAGTGAAATGACCATTGACCATGTCAGAAAGAAATGGTCTTACACATATGATGTAAGTATTTATCAATGAGTTAGATGTATTCAAAGATAAACAATAGCAGCAAAGACAACACTCATTGTTTTAAATACTTGTATGCAAATAATGATACAAACAAATGTGAAGGTTTGTAATTAAAAAACAGTTAGACTGATATTGATAAAGTTTGAAAAATAAAAAATTTAATGTTATCAATAGATCCAAGTTCTGTAGAACAACTAAACCAGGATACATAGCTTCATACTTATAACTCCTTACAGATGTACAAGATAGCAAAGAAAACAAATAACAAGGCTTGGAAATATTTCAAAGTATTTGATAAACATTTTGGTAAAAACGAAATATTGGATAAGTATGAATCATGTAAGTATAGAAATTATGAGTTTCTTATTGGAATCATAATAGAGTTAATTTATTACAATTTTACCGTTTTGCCAATGGGAAAACTGAAACTGATCAGAGATGTTTAAATTGAACCTCACTAGGAAACAGTCAAAGATTTGTTTTAGTTTTTATATTTCAAACTAGTAGAAGGTCTCTGATTTATTTCATTTAAAATAAAGTGATAGAGAAAACTTATTCTATCATACCAATATTTATCAAAATGCAATGATATAATGTGCAAAGTTATTAAAAAAAATATTATTTTTAAATATCTATCTAATCAATGTCTTGGCTTATAGGGAGTGATGAATGGCGGCTAAAATTAATAATCTGTGTGACAGAGTCTAAGGAAATGAAGCTAGAGCCACTGACTATGTGGAGGTAAATATAATATAGAGTAGTAACATATTTAAGTTTATTTTTCTATAAATGATAAAAGGGCTTGTGCAACACGGGCAACACCAATAACTATCTGAAACATATGCATGTGCACTGTGCATAAAATATAAATTTTATAAAAAACAAAATTATGTTCTTTATTCTAATTTATCCAGCACTATTATGTAACCATACATTGGAAATCAGGCTGTTAGTTTATTTGGACTGTATGGCTGGTGCGGTTGGTGGCAAACTGGCTGCCGCGTGTGTTGCGTCGCGGGTGCAATTCCTACATGAAACAATTCTGTGTGTGATCCACAAATTGTTGTCAGTCTGTGTGTATGTGACATTGTATGTTTGTAAACACAATCACGACACAGGAGAAAATCGGAGAGAAAAAATATGGGGCAATGTCTATTTAGGAAAAAAAATTGTTTGTGACCTACCTACAATAATTGATTTATACATTTAATAAGGAATCATCATCAGTGTCAGTACCAGATTTAGTTGTTCAAAAATATTATTTGAAATTACGTAAGCAATTATCTGTATCATTAAAGTTACTTTTAAGTAAAGACAAATCTCCTCTATACTCTATCTGCCATAATGAAATTAAAGTATATATATTTTCTTCTTTCTGTAGGACAGTAGAAAGAGCCATGCGATGTCAAGATCTGCCTCTAGACTGTTGTGTGCAAGACATGAAGGGATTGTGGCATCATATTAAAATGACTTTTGGTGTAAGTATGATAAATTTAGAAACAAAGTTAATTACTTACACTACTTATTCGTTGGCAATCCTTCAATCCTTAATCCCCAAATCTCCAAAACCCTAATTCCCAAAAGGTCGGCAACGCACTCGTAAGTCCTTCGTTGTTGCGAGTGTCCCATAGGCGGCACTAAATGCTTTCCATCAGGTAATCCGTGTGCTTGTTTTCCGTCCTATCGTGATTATTTCGCTCAATTTATTTCTCAGATCAGTTGGAAGAGGACTCAATGATAGTAAAAAGTAAATTCACTCAAATCTTTTGAGATTATCAATTTTTTTTTAAACTCTACACTGAAATCTATACCAAGAAAATCTTACTTACTTAACATTAGTGTTTCGGAAAACTCTAGTTGCAGTGTCAGTGTTTTAAACATTGTTGTATTTATATTTGGCAATAAAAGCTTTCCGCCTGTTACATGACTCAGCATTACCTAAAAACGGGGTGAACAGAATTCGAGGGGTGAATAGAAACAGAAGAGGGGTAAATAGATACTAGGAAAATTCGCCAACATCTATTCACCCCTTTCGTGTATCTATTCAGCCCTCGAATTTTATTCACCCCGTTTTATCGTACTGTTGAAAAATTGGACAAAGTTTCTCTTACTCATGAGTAGCATGAGCGTCGCTTAGCTGACTCCCGATACGAGTAAGAGTCCTGTTGCGACTTGAAACTAGTAGAGCTTTTCTGAGTCAATTCACGTGAGCACCGTAAGTTCGGGTTATTTTTAGAAAAAAACATCCTACCACGTAGCTTAGGGTTACTTTGACCCTGAGAAGTAATCCAAATTTCCAAACCAATGAAAATCGAATATAAGTTTGGTTCTAAGTTATTATTGGTTAAGGGGCTTAGATCAAAGTTACCCCGCAGGGTCAAAGTAACCCTAAGCTACGTGGTAGGATGTTAGTTTCAAAGAATTTAGTATATTGAAAAAATGGTGTATCACGATATAATAATCGGCCACTTATTGTATAGACGTGACATTATGTATAAAATCCATTTAATCCATTGTTACAGAGAAAACATCGTATGAAACTAAAAAAGAGTTCTGAACGAAGCGAGTGGCCGTTGTACGACGCCATGTTAACTTACTTCGAGAAGTTTGAACCCGATGTCTTGACCAGGTTAGAAGCACAGGGCTCCTGTGGGTCCAGAATACCCTGTGCCAGATATTTTAAACATAATAAGAAGAATACTGATAAAAATGAAAGTGAAAATGAAACTGAATTTCAATGTGAGTATTTTTTATTTACATTTTAATTTATTGAGCTCAGTATGTGACCTGTTTGGCCTGACTATTTTGTCTACGTGCCCAAGAAGTTTGGTGGGATTTATTTTGCCATTTTGAGTACATTCATCCCTGCATCTAAATAGACTTTCGTTTTTACAATATTGTAATGCTGTAAAATTCAAAATAAGTATTTTATTTTTAATTTAAGCACTTTTTTAATATCAAATATTTACATCTCTTACGAAATATTAAAAAAAAATTGCAACTATCATCACTCGTCAGGCATTTTGATAAATTATGCCGTACGGCTAACATACTCGACGCCCACCCGTTCGTCACGTATGTTTCCAATAATTATGGGCTCCCGACAAGGCTTGAAACTGGTCGAGTTAACTTGATGAATAGTAAGTAAGTAAGCATCATAATAATTTATAATATTATTGTATTGTGTAGGGTCCAAGGATATCACAGAAACATTTATCCAGATCAGATTGCAACACGACTGGCTGTTCAGACAGAAAAAGTGGGCATGGAAGTAAGATTCGTTTTAAAACTGTTATTCCACACTAGGGTTTAGTCATATGCCGTGAATGAGTTTATGAACATTAATTCCACATCAAACCTAACACATATTTTCATTTGTTATTATTTCATCATCATCTGCTATCATTGTACCTACTGGTAATCATATTCCACCCCAATGCCTTCCAAAACCCCTCTGTAGGAATGTAACCTGCAAATACCTGACCTCTAAATTCAAACGTGAGGTAGTAAATAAAAACGGGGTTGCGGGCCTAGCGCAATAAGGTACCAAAGCCTCAGCTTGGAGCAGGAGAAGGATCTGAGGGTTTTTAGTCAGTAAAAGGCTGCCACTCCCTCCAGCCTTAGATAGGCGAGAGAAATCATTTGATGAATTTTCCTCTTAAAAAAGTAATAAGTTATATCAATAGTTTTGCATTGATATAGCTCTTGCTGCATACTGCTGTGGACCGGGTTGACGTAGAAGAAATATCCAGGCCGGACCCAGATGTGTTCTTTCACATCCATTTATCAAATGGCATCACATAACTAGATTTCTTAGTTATTTTATAGTTTCAGCTATAAACTACTCGCACGCGGTTTCACCCGCTGCTCGGCTCTATTTGATCGTAGCGTGATGTTTTATAGCGTATAGTACTCAGGAACGTTATAGCTATCTATCAGTGAAAGAATATTGGAAAACCGACCAGCGGTTCTAAAGATTACCCCCTACATACAAACTTACAAATTTTACCTCTTTTTAGTATAAATAAGCATTATTCTTTGTACAGTTCCTCCATCTTTTGTATCGCTCATCATCATCATCATCATCCGCTTTTTATAACAGCATTTGCATGAACTATTGCTATCATCAAAGCAAATTGATAACAGATATCACGTTTCATTTAGTTCTTAATATTGTCGCGATATGTGCCAATAAGCTCGCTTTAACAACTTTAATGGTACATATTATATTTCTTGTTCAAAACAGTGAGTTACTGAAAATCATGGTTGACGAATATGGATTCCCTAAAACGTTGACATCAAGAGAATTGGGAAGGAAATGGGCTGCGACGTTTTCTGTGAGTATTGTATACAAATGTGTTTTTATTTTGTTATTTTTATCATCACTAAAAATCTCGGGCATACCTTCCTCAAAATATCTATTGTCTTCTTTGCATATAATAATTTTTGCCAACACGATTTTGAACTTTAAGTGTACAGAGAATAAAGAAAAAAATTGTTGTCAGGAATATCAAAAAGCGAAGGCGACGAACAATAAGACTTGGGTTTACCACAACCTATTCGAGTTGTACTTGGGTGAATCTTCTAACCTCAGCTTAAATCCGCTTGTTGACTGTAAGTATACTTTCTCTTCACTGTAAACACATTTCTAAAAACTTTCTTAAAAACTTTAATTAGTAAGTAATATTTAAACGTGTCAATGACCTCTCAATAGCTCATATCTTAACGGCAACCTACGCAGCAATAAATTAGCAACTCCTTCCTTTTAAAACTCCTTTTAGACACACAACAAGGTAATAGAAACTCAGACTATATTTTTAGATTCAAATACATAGGCTTTTTATAATACGTCACGCGAATTAGAGCATTAGCAAAGACCAATTTATTGTTTACTAGCTACTCTAGCGCGGTTTCACCCGCTGCTCAGCTCGCTTTAATCGTAGCGTGATGTTTTATAGCCTATAGCACTCAGGAACATTGTAGCTATCTATCAGTGAAAGAATTTTGGTTAATTTTCTGATATAGGGCAAGAAGAATGGGTGTTCAACTTAATCAGCGCTCGCACAGACTTGGAACATACGTTCAGAACTTTTAAAGATCCTCTTCATGGATGGCGGTATGTAACATTTTATCACTCACGATTGAAAATAGTTTTTTGATATATTTTTGTTTGAAAATAATTGTTATTTTTTATATAGCGAGGTTGAGAAAATGTTACGAAGTATTGGAATACCTTTGGACCACAGTTTACTTGATTTGCAAGAAATTTGGCTACATCTAATGAAAACGTTTAAGGTAAACATTTTAACTGTCATTCTCATATTAGCAAACATGTACATCTCCGAAATTTCTTCATTGACATTCTTGTCCTAAAGTATCAAATTGCACTTTTTTATTTATTTTTAGTGGAAAACAAAATTCGCAAATAAAGGCATCCTAAACGAACAGTGGCCTTATTTCGAAGCTATGAGTCGATATTCAGAGATACAAGAGAAAAATGCCATCAAAAAGCAGAAAATTGAAGAGACTGATAATTACGCTGATGCTACAAATGACGATGATTTCGAAGATGATATGAAGTTATTGGACTTAAAGCAAAGGTTGCAGCTTCAAGTGAAGCCTAAGTTTGAAGAAGAAGACGATTCTGACCGATGTCGGTCGTGCTCCAATCTGACAGCTTCTATAGACATATTCGAACAAAAAGATGACGACGGATTTGATGTCGCTCACAAGCTAAAACTTATAGGCGGAATTGAGGTAAGTGATTATTTATTAGTAAATTTTATAGTTAGTTATATGTAGTTACTTACGCATTTCTCTCTATTTGTCCTAGATCGAAAAAACAGATAATCTACCCACTCACATATGCCTAAGCTGTCTCGAAATACTAGAAAACGCTTACAAATTCAGACGGAAATGTCAAGATATTGATAAAATGCTCCGCGGTACGGCACGACGTATCAAAGTAGAAGTGCTTGATAAACATGACCTTAATGAAACACACAATGATGACAAAGGAGACGACAATCATGATGTAGATGAAGTTGAAATTACCTTCGGACAGATATCCGGTGACATGGCTGAACAATCAGAAAACGAAGCAAAACCCAAAGTAAAAACAGAAAAAGTTAGAAGAAAAAAGAAGAAAGTAAAAAAGTTGAGATACGATTACTGGAAAATATGCGAAATATGTGGAAAGCATACTCGGAATCTCGTCAGCCATCTAGACACGCACTCCACTGACAAACTTTATTCTTGTAACGTGTGCGATAAAAAGTTTAAATTCAAAAGCGGATTGATCATACATAAAGCGGTCCACGATCCTACGCCTCGGAAAACTTGTGAAGTATGTGGGAAGACGTTCCATATATTGGCTCAGTACAGGAGGCATTTCGTGTATCACGCGAACGAAAGGAAGTATGGATGTGAGACATGTGGGAAACGATTCAATACCTTAGATATATTAAAAGTTCATCACAGAACACACACAGACGAAAGACCTTTCAGCTGCCAGGAGTGCGGGAAAACATTCAGGACAGCTGGCTGCGTCAGTAGACATAAGAGAATTGTACATAGAAATATAAAAAAAGTTCAATAAATGTACGGGAGCGGCCTTGGTTGTCTGATTTGATCTTTAAATCGACCTTTTATCAGTTGAACTTGTACACACTTCGTTATCTTCTTTTAATTTCTCTGAACTGAGATATGATTCCGTCTTAGTGATATAAATTACTATTCGTCTATTAGGTCTACAATATTAATGAATGTAGGTACCGATGATATTCATTTTGCGATGTAGTTAGCAAACTTACAGTATCCAATGAGGCTAGAAAAATATAACCGCGTACTTCAAAGATAGCGCCTGGCGCCAACACTTATGTATATAGACTTGACCGAAATCAAAAGAGCAATGTCCTAGCATAATTAACCTGATGTTTGTGATGGTATCATCGAGGTTTGATTTTAATTAACAACAAGACTTTGTTTGATGAGCTTTATCGTGAACAGATCATCTCTTTACGCTAAGTAGGTGGAGGGTTGTGGGATTAGCAGTGAGTACATTGATCGATATTGTCCAAAAATACAGACCTCTCAACCCTTGGAATGTTGATCGAAGTGTACGTCAGTAAGTGATTATAAGCAGGCGCATTGAGGGGCCTGCACCGGCGCCGGCGCAGCTCTGTAAAGTTCACCGTCAGTTCGCAGTAGACAGCGCGCGCGGACGGAGTCTCGCGCTCTGCCTAATTTAGAATCACCGGCGTGCACGTCTCAGTGCTACACTAAAACGAACAAAGGGTGCTTCCTAGTTTTATTTAGAATTAAAAGGGCGACATGGCGATACACTGCCCGGTAAGTTTATTTTATTTTTATTTTTTATCTTACCTTTTTAGAAAAGATAGTCGAGATGGGATTATAATTACTACTTACAATGAACATGTCGCACGAGATTAACATTTTAAATGAGATGCTATAATCAAGACATAGTAGTACAGGTACAGGATAGGTAGTGTTTTATACACATCGAATTATTAATTAAATTCTTTCTTCCATGCATCAAAATTGTTCATACTCGTCCTATCGTTTAAAATATGATACATATGATGACATGCAGTGGCGCTCGTATTCGAATATTTTTATAATACGACGACGCCCGCCACTGCTGTCAGTGCCAACCGCCAGGACCAACCTCCTGGCCAAAACGCCTCTCACGCGAGCAATTCGTATTATAAATGAAATCCACAACAACATAGATATTTTTTCGTGTCAGTTCAGTGAACTCGCAAGGATGACTTTATTTATATTATGTTATAAGATAGATTAGGCCGTAATTTATTGTTAATGTGTTTTATTTTGTTGTTTTTGTATTGTTTGTTTTTGTATGTCTTTTTAATTAACCAAGAAGGGTGTGTGTCTGTTTATGTTTTTATGTTTTTAATTGTATTTTTTTAATGTTTTATTTAGTTAAATGCCCCACTAACGCATTGGATTAGTCTGTAATGTTAGTGTTAAGGATGATAAATAAATAAATAAATAAATAAATAAATAAATAATTATAGTAAATTTATCTCCGAGAAAATATGGAAACAGTTGAAAAAATAAAACCGGCTTCGCTAAGTATTATTACGTAAGGAAATAAACAAACTGCTTGAGGGACAGAACACATCTATACCTACAACCGTAGCTATTGCAATTATTATAACAATTAAACCTTATTCTTATTCTCACTACATAGGTATTTTCCCCTAAAAACATAATTTACTTCGTAAATAATTTAATTGGGAGCTGACATTGGGGTCATTGGAATTAAGTCACGTATTATTAGAGCAAAGACTCGTTATCAATGTAATGGCTAGAAAAACAACAGAGCTAGCTTGCTTATTATGACATTAAGATTATAAACGTAAATTATTGATGCGTAATATTGTTTGCAATGAACACTCGAGACTTTTATAAGTAAGTAGCCGTCGATGTCGATACAAAAGTTTATTGCCCTAAGGTGTCGCATTAACGTGCTTTTCGCACCTTCCCGGCCGTGTTTTGCGTACGCGCATATTTAACGAGCTCTTAGTTTGTTTTGTGACCACGATAATTGGACTCAATGTGTTTTGTAGGTTTTCGGCTATCTTTGTGATGCTCCATTTATTGAGTTTGTAAATAGTGCAGTTAGTGTTGCAATGCATTGCCTAATTGCTAAGTGCATATCTAAGTGTACGCTATGTAATATTTGTTTTCGTCAAGATAAAGTTTTGTACTAAGAACTGTATTCGTATACTATACACAAGCTCTCGAAAAAAAGTAAGTAAATATTATGAACTTTTTATCGTGTAAGTGTTTGATAGGAGAGTCAAAAATACAAAATTGGGTTAGTATGTATGTGTACCTAAATCCGGTATTTAAAAGCCAAGCTGGTTTTTCTCAAATGGATAGCATATATTTTCATGTAACCTAACATAAACAAAATTGCGTTTCTCCTCAGTTTTGATATGGCCAGGATCAATTCTAGAGATCGTACAATTTAAAGCAGCCATTTCAACTTTTTTCTAGGTCAGAGTCAAAGTGTAGAGATCTAGGAGATATTATCTTCCCTTAAGAATCGAATGGCGAATGACTTGAGTTAAATATAGCAGTGGGTTAACATCTAACTGTAAACTGTTACAGAGATGTGACACAAAGAATGTGTCACAGTTTAGAACGACATGCGGTCTAGTGTCGCAAATTGCTAACAATCTCTTGCTAGAGAAATATAAATGTACCTAAATACGTACACTTCAATATAAACAGATCGAACAGGTCAAGATGGAAATTAAAAGTCTTCATAGTCTTTATTAAGCGTCTAGACATGTATTTTTAAGAATAGAATTGAAATTATTTGTCTATGTTTTCTATCCATTATTTATCTTTTCTTGCATCTGGAGCCCGAACAATTGGCGATGAAATGCTGTAGGAAGTGTCAGAATCTTACTGACTGGTCCTTTCCTTCTGCTTCGGGCCGGGACCGCGGTACACCGCCAAAGTGAAGGATGCTTCTTTTCTGGAGGGAAAATCATACTGGCCTAAAACTACCACGGCCCTTCTCCTGCTCAAGGCCGAGACCATGGACCATAGCGCTTGCACTCATAACCCCGGAAAGCGCAATGTGGCACCGTGGCCTCGGCCTAAAACAGAAGAAAGAACGGGGGCGTTTTTAGTCAGTAATAGTCTAACACTCTCGCTCTCAATACCCTGGGAGGGAGAAGACATTTGATGATTTTCCCCTGACAAAAATAACCGGCTAGATCGAAGGATGCTGAAGTAGCAATTAATTACATCCTAGTTTTGTCTAGTGGTTAAAAACATCCCGAGACCTTAGGAGTTAGCCTTATTTCCTATGGTTAGGTTAATAACATCTGGCACACCAGATAATTCCAAACTAGGTACGTGTTGTTGCTGAGAATTTTGGAAATGAACGCCGGAGTTGAAACCGCCTTGTTCCAAAGGAAACAGGTGATGGTTTGGATGCACCCTTAAATTTTCAGTTAAAATGTGAATTTAGAATTGTAACGCGCTGAGGTGGTTCTACAAGAGTTCTTACCTCACCTATAGTAGATGGTTATAACAAAACACATTATTAAAAATTAAACAAATCCGTAAGATAACAGTAGGTAAGTAATCAAAGAAGGCGTTCGTATCAAGTTTGACTTCAGCACTCTTTTGTAGTGGAGTAGAGCTATCTAATGCACCTATTCTCAATTTCGCGATCATCTTAGTTAGAAGGCCAAAGAGTAGGAATTAATAACAAAGTGTTTAAAGCACTGTCCGTCTGCATGACTGAGCTGGATCCCGGCCAAGGCCTGCACGTTGTTTCAGAACCTCGACTCCTTTCGCTTTGTGACATGTTCAATCTAAAATAGGATTCTGGTGCCTATGCCTATTAGTGCTAGTGCGTCTTTCGCTATATAATTGTACCTATATGTTTTTTTTTCAAATATTATTTTAATATATTTTGACCCGGTTTGTTTTAATTTATTTACAGCTTCATTGATCTTTTACATTTACTAAATTGCTAATCCAATATACTAACCGTAGTTAGTTACGTGAAAAGGTCGTTTTAATAATTACCTCAGACTCAGACAGAATTACCACATAGGTGCTTGCGTAGTAAGTGCCTATGTAGAGAAAGGATTAGTTAAGACGTCACAAAAAATATCTAAGGGCCGAACAAAATGAATTAATTTGAACAGATAGCCGTTAAATTAATGTAAAAATGTCGAGTCATGAACTTCAAGAAGGAATCTTTAAATTGACGTGTAAATTCAATTCGTTATCTATAGAGGACAAGCTTGAAGCTATAATTGAAATTGTTATAAAAAACAGAATAAGGCTCTAAGTTAAAGTTAAACAACACCTAATGTAGCAGGTAATAGAAAAGCCGGCCAAGTGCGAGTCCTTATATCTACGTAGTCCGTTCCGTACCAAAATGACATTTATAGTAAGTTTAGTGAGCCTCCGCATTAATTTTATTTGGTTTTATAGAATTTTATGTTAGGTATATAGGTATTATAGCAGCAAGATCCTCTGTCAAGAATGCACAGTCGACGCATTGACCGGGCAACTAGCTGCTATGGGTTCGTC